TTTGTTCATTTAGATAAAATTTTGCAAATATGAATTGCAGATAGTATTATTTTTGACGCATACAGTAACGGGTATTTCTATTTGGTCATGGCTATTACTTTCAACACTTCGTTACCTCGCCATAAGGCATCCACTCTTCCATCTTCAATTATGGCAAATGCCATGTCGAGCTTTATCATTTATTATAGTCGGTTTTTTTTTTTTTTAAATTTTATATTTGTATTCTTATTTTCTTTTCTTTCTCTTGAATTTCATCATAATATGACAAATAGTATGAGGAAAAAAAAATTTTTTCCTAAAATAACTGTAATAATCGATGATATTTTCCATTCTTCTTCTTAACACTTCTATCCTTTCTACAGTGTAATTTCAAGGAATAATCGAAATACAGTAAAATGAAATATATAGTAATAGAAGATTGAATTTCGATAATGAGACAGAATTCTGTGTGTTACTGTAATAAATGATCGTATTGTAGATAGTATCATTGGTGTTGAATGCTTGGCTTTTATTGGCCGTTCATTCCACTGAATTTGGTTGTATTCAACAGGCACTATTCCGATCACTTGCTTGGAATCGTTTATTTCATATTATTGAATGTGCTTGGTCATTTTGTGTCCCATGCTTACTTATTTTTTTTATGGACATTTCTGTACTCATCAAAAGCACGTTCGTTTTTTTTTTTTTTGTTATTACTTATTTGAAATAGCAAATAATTAAGTAACTAGTATATGCTGCTAAATAGAATATCTTCAATTTAAAATTGATATTAAGTCAAACTATAGTATGTTATAATTGACAAAATTGAAAAATAAAATTCAAATTTAAGTCTTTGTTACTTTATGTGTAAATAATTTATTACAGATATCATTTTTTTCTCTAAATATTAAAGTTTAAAAATTATAACATTTTAAATTTAACTAATAATAAAATAATAAAGTTGAAAATTTTGAGAAAGTAACAAGTACCGACATGATAATTACAGGATGGGATCGTGCGACTTCGATTTAATGCAAATGTTTTCAGCAAAAAAAAGATCTGAACAAACTTTTGAATCACTAACTATTGTTTGTGTATATTCTCGTAACAATCAAACACTTACTCGAGTGCGTGTTTGTTTCATTTTAAAAATGATGGAAGAATATCATTTTCATTTAGGCGAAGAAAGTAAAAATTATTGGATTGAAAAAAAGTCAAATATTTTATTTCAATTTAAAGTGCTTTTTATATTATTAGGTATTTTTTTTTATAGAAAAATTGATCATTCAAGCGCATACATCTATGATCGATCCAATTAAAGCCTGATTATTTGTTGTTTACAACAAATAATCAGACGTTATTAAATTTTAAGAAATCAATAATTTGCTGATTAAATAATAACAATTATAAATATAATGTTTATTGCATAAATATGGAAATAAAATGATTCGATAATGATTTTTCTAACCTTGTAGCATAAGCATAATCGTACATTATGGAGATGGTTGGTGATTGCATTAATTTGCATAATGTTGAATACACCAGAAAATATGTATCGATTGGTGATATTATTTGGAATGTACGATGTTCACGAAGAAGCGCTTCACTTCTCAGCGCGAATGCTTGCGCAAGCGCTTTATTTTAGGTATGAAATCATCGAAATCATTCTATCGATTACTTTATAAGTATGATATGAATTTTTGCACTCCAAAGATTGAAACATTAATTAACAATTATTCTTAGGTTGTTTGAAAAATTCTGAGTGCATAATTTTAAAGTTTCGAAATTTTTGCAAGTGCAATATAAAATAATACAATTCGACACAAATCTTTTTATTTACCATTGATCATACAACTGATTTATGTGATTAGTCATAGTGCTAATTTCTAAATCATGCCGCGCTTTCTGTTGCAAATTAGCCTTTTCACACGATCATTTCCACTTTCACTCTTTTAATTCATATGATTATTAGGAAGTAATATCTCCGTAATCGTTCTTCCTAACTCTCATCACCAGATTTCTAACTGTTAACTTTTTTAAATAAAGTAGTGATAGCTGCTGATCATCTGAGGATAAGAAAAGTTCCAATGGCGAATAATAGTAAATAATTCAATTTTCTATTTTGTATATTTAATTTCCCCTTTCTATCTTGCTTGTTTTGCACAAAAAGCTAAAATTAAATAAATGTTCAAAAGTCTCCGATTAAATCTTTGCATTAATTAACAAGTTAAAACTAACAAATTAAATCTTTAAATTAATTAATATATAAGCATAAGTAGTATAAATTTTAGCCAGTTTGCATTTAATGCTGTGTATTTGGCACTATTTGTATTCGATAAATCAACCAGACCAAAATCATATTTCGAGCATTCCACGAACTCGATGCCTTTAGGCCAATCATGTTAGTAGTATAAATTTTTTTCCCCCATTTCAGACTACTGAAATTAAAAAATCTGTAAAAAATTCACTTTTTTCAGTTTAAGCAAATAACAAAATTTAAAGATAAACATTGACTTTATATTTTCTATATTTAACTTCTTAAAATTCAACAAATAAATTATTCCAGATTTACCTAAACAAATAAATTGTTTCAGATTTATCGGAAATATTCCAAGAGTTTAAATTTACTCGACACTTGAAGCAAAATTTTTTTTCTAAAATATTTTATCTTTTACTAATTTTCTGCTATTTGTCGTTTCAGCACGATATCGCAAAGTGTATTCCGAAAAAGTAAATGGACTTACAGCCGTTTAGCAAAGTAAGGAAGAGCATGTGATATTATATTTTTAACATTGATAATACCAACGTAATTTGTTTTTATCATCGATTGCTTACTTTTTAAATTTATTGTAAAATAGTAATGGTCTGATCTCCGCTTATCTCTTTTGCATTTCTTGATATTTAAAGTTTCATTAAAATTTAAAATTACATAATACATTTTTACAAGCGATAAATGTTTGACTTCTTCTGAACTGATCACTGAAAAATGCTAGTAGAAATATAAAAAGGTAACGTTTAACTTCAAGAAGCATTGTTTTAATTTTGTTAGAAAACATTGATAGATTCTTATGAAATTGAAAAAATCCATGAATAAATGGCATTTCATCAACTTTTTCGTGAAGAGATAAAGTTTACGAGCAAAAAAAATAGGAATTTTGAAGTTTAATTTGAATAGGAAAATCATTCAAAGCATAATGTTTTTTATTAAAAATTTTACAAAAGTTTGCTCGAATGAATTTACCAAATGTTACCATCGTGGTGTTTTCTACAGGTCAAATAATTTTTTTTTTTTTATTTAAGCAAAATCAATTCAGCGCAAAAGTCGCAACTGTTATCAAATGGATCTCGATCAGAGATGACAAGATTAATTAAGGAGAAAATAGGTATTACTTGTTATAGATGTAATTTTGATACACCTGCATTAGTAAAATATTCTTTTTATTCCATAATAAAATTGTAATTCGGTTAATGCAAATTTTTAATCACATTCAAATCTTCAATCATAATGCAAAATACCGCATTAAAACGACTAATATAAATTGCATGGAGCCATTAGTTAATCATTTTTACTGACTTTCAAAAAACAAATAGGATTTAAATGAAATATGGCTCTTCAACCAATTTCAGAAAAAAGGCCAAGCAAATTGACGTTATCGCGTTTCATATTTGATGTTAGAATAAATATTCCGGCGCAGATGTTACGTCAAGAAGAATGCCGCGTACCATTTATTCTCGCTCACGGACCACGTTCACTAGAATTGTAGGTGAAAAAAAAACGAATTTTAAAATTTTAAAATCTTAATTTTTCCCCATTCATTTATAATTTCTGTTTAGGCCTATCCTAGCTTTTAAACGTTTAAAAGCGGAAAATAAGTTGGCGTTTAAATGCTGTATCAGAATAGTTCAAAGATTTCTATATAAATATTGATGTAATTATGAGTTGAGAAATTTTCATTAGAGTTAAAAAAAATTTTCATTTCTAAATTGGAGGCATTTTTTGCTAGAGGAAGAAAATAAGACGCACCCAAATTCTATTCGATAATATTGTAGATTTCTTGAATAGAATCGAATTTGTGTAATTAGGAACCGCATAAAATAAAATTTCACGCAATCTGTCAATATTTCATTTGGCTATTTTTATTTTATTTTTAAACCAATTTGAAGTTTTGCTACATCTTATCTTATAAAATCCAGCACTTTTCAGTGAATTTAAAATTAATGTAGCAGATTTTCGCAAAGAAAATCCAACATTGCTAGTGGATTGTCAAAGTGAATTGCGTATGCAAATTTCTGGATTAATTGCAATACGTTTCGGTGCTTCAAAAGATATTAATAATACCGTTGATACAGAAGGTACGGTTTGAAATTTTTATTTCTTTTAAATTTAATACTCTAATTTATACATAGAATATAATTAAGTAAATGACTTAATGCTTTTACTTAATATAATTAAGTAAAAGCATTAAGTTTACAGGAACAGTGCACATCAGTCGGTAAGCAGAAAGCAGAATTCTTCGTGAGCATTTCAAGGCCAACATGATCTCTGTTTTGAACTTACAAAATTTAAACCCACTCATAAATATTTTTATTAATGATCCTAAACAGGAACATCATAACTAAATCTTATATCTTCTTCATTTTCTCATTTTCCATGAATTATTTGATGTTTTATCCTAAATAAAGCAACAAATATTAATTCAAATTCTCGACAAATTTATTTAAAAATTAAAAGGCAAATTATATGCACAAATGCTTTTGCAAATAAACAGGCAAAGGCGAATATTAGCAAAAAAAGGTTAAATTACGAAATTTGAAATAAACAAAGAAGTAAATGGTAAGCAATAATGTCAAAATTATTAATAATTGATGGAATTAAAAAAGATCATGAAAGATATATTAGCAAAATCTCATTAGCTTAACATAATCAAATTTTACAGTGATAATGAACGAAATGCAGGAAACAGATTTCGAACATACATTTATCATACGTGGTATTGATCCATTCTTGGAATCACTGCATAATATTATTTCATCAACGAAATATGAAAATGGTTTAATCGGTTTTAGCATTCTTATAACATATCAGGAAACGGAATTCATGCAATTTGTTCAACAGAAAAATCGACTTCGACCATTTACCTATACAGAAATCTGGAATTGCCAATTAAACATCAAAGCTTACAGGTATTTTTATTAATTAATCTAATATCTTTTAGATTATTTCAAGCAAATTTTCCAGTAACTAATCGAATATAACAATAATTTATAGAGATTTCAAAGTGTATGGTTCAGATGCATATTCCATAATGTATTCAAAATGGATACTTTATATGAGTACCAAATATTTTCATAAATTGATCGATGAAAATCCAAACATCAATGAAGCAACATTAAATTATCCCCATGATGTTATCATTCATGTAAGTCGTCAATATTAAATTAAATTTATTCAAAAAACACTTGCTTAGATCAACTGATGAATTTCCATTAAATATCTCAAAAAAAAACTTAATACAACTAATAATAAAATTTAGATCATGAAAATTATTTAGCAAGGTAATTAATTTTTTTCTTATTATATTTAACAAAATAAAAAAAAAAAAAACTACTTCTTTAAGACTGGAAAAAATGATTCGTCAAATTCTATTTCAATCATTATTTTTTGATTTCAATGACTTCATTTCAGGCTATTTCTTTAGCATTGAAAAATCAGTTCCAGCAGGAATATAACAAGAATATTAGAAAAATGTGCCAGATAATTGAATTACTTTGCATATTAGAACCAATTAATGTGGATATAGCTATCGAAAATGTTGCTATAGAACTTCAATGCAGCATTTTTGATGTAAATTTAATCTTATACTTACTCAACGCTTATACCTATTTTTTTCATGAATTTATAATATTTCCTCACCAATTATTGATAAACATAGTGTTAACAATTCTGACTGAGAAGCAAAATCCTTCTAAAAACATCTAAACTAAATAATAATCTTGATGAGTCCTTATTTAGGTTAATTGAGAAAATTCTCGAGAAAAATCTTGGTAGAAATTCATATTTTTTACTGAATATAAGATTGCACTAAAAAGGAAGTTAGGAAGAGAGTAAATTGATTTGATATTGCACCATATAAAGCAGCTTACTATTTTTTAAAATCATGATGAGTACAAAGTTAGCAGATTAATAACATAGGAGATTATTATAAAAAGCTCAGTCTAAATACTTATCAAAGAGCAAATAATCGGTCATGTTCTTGTTGCTAATGGTTATCAAACGGTTATCAAACTAATGGTTATCAAACTGTTATCTTGTCAATTTTCACGGATAAAATTAATTTACAAATGTAATACCGAAAATTATTTATCTGCTTTTAAAAGTTCGGCAAACTCACTTAGTTCTCGAATTTATCATTTATTATATAAAGCATAAAATATTCTTGTATGACTATAAATTATTTATCGTGAAAGGAAATAAATTACAGGAATGGAAATATGTAGATTTAGATGATTTAGTACAAATACTAACATTACCAAAGTATTGGGAATTGGAAGAGTTGAAAGTTGCAGTACGATCTGTGATCATCGATCTTCATGGCAAACAGTTCCAGTAAGAAATTCTCGTTTTATCGAAATTATTCAAACTTTTTTCTCATATTGATAGAAATAAAAAAGAAAATTGCATCCATTTTGTTCGTTTGCATTAATCTGAAGACCGATTAAGTGATCAAATTCTACCATTTATGATGTTAAGAAATTGCTCAAAGAAAATGCAACGTGTTCGATTCAAGGAATTAAATTTTGCAGTAAAATAAACATATAGCATGCTGATTATTTTCATTTATGTATTACTTAACTAATATACAAGCAATTACTCCAGAAAAGCTTTAAAATTTTACAAAATTCTTAAGGAAACAATCAAGCAAATATCAATGTGAGTAATTTTTACAGAAAAGAGTATAATGAGCAATCAACAGGTGAACGATGTGCAATGTATCGAGAGCTTATATCTAGCGGTGTTTTAGATGAGAAATCTAAACCAGTAGAAAGTGAACTTGCAAAAATCAAAAGAATGAGCTGGAAAATGAGCACGGTGAAGAAAACGGTGGAATTCTTTGAAGAATCAGTCTCGCAATAAACCTTTATTACACCACAAATCTTTCTTTATTTGTCCACAAATGAAAAAAGTGAGGAAAGGTCAAATAACAGATTTACTCAATGTTTTGCACGATCTCCTAATTGTCATTCTCTTTCAAATCACCAATTAATCATCTCATGTCACTCAAATGATTATATTTCTCAAAAATTGCAGTATAAAATTAAAAAAAAAAAAATTAGTCCTTTTCTATAGTTTTATTCCAAAGAACAAGCTATTATCCTTTCACATCGAGGTCACAGCGAATTCATCTTACCATCTGAACTCGTAAATATCACCCATAGAACTACGGTAAACTCGTAAACTACACCGCAAATTTCTCCATTTATGTTAAAAACAAACTGCACTTTATCAATCACACATATACCCCTTCTTATACAAATATTTTAACGATGATGTTAATTGAAATTAATCTCCGTATGACAAACTGCATTCAATGTGTACTGCAAAAGTCACAAGTCATAATGCTGCTAAAAAATATGTTACAAGAAATTCAGCAAATACATATCAGTCATTTATTGGGAATTACACAAATACAGTAAACATTCAATAAGAAATATAAAATGATAAAATGAAAAGGGAAGGAATAAAGATTACTTCATAAGAAAAAATTCTGGACAATATTCCAAAGAAATAATGAAAGAATCATTCATTAAATATGAATAACCTTTCCGTTCGATGACCTCAATCATAAGCACTAAATGGGCAATGGTCACAATAGTCAAAAATCAACGATGAACTTACTATGTCTGTTACCTTATCGCTATGACCGTTGTTAAGCTACCTGGATTAAGCCGTACAGCAAGAAAATGTATATTTGTTTGAGATTGGAAAATACCACAATATTGAGCAAATAAAACACTACAAAATAAAGTTGAGATGTATAAAATGAGCAACGAATCAAGTGCCTGGTTTGTAAACATATCGAAAGATTAGCCGTCCTGGCTAGCATATGATATTACAACCATATATGCATTTCGTAATAACGGAGAATATAATGGTATCTTACCCTAAGCATTATTAGCATACAGGTTAATTAGCATCCTATTGCTGACAGCTTGCAATTGATGAAAATTGTCCAATGGACTATGAAATTCTGTGCAGTTTGTTAAGCATATGAAAAGAATTCCAGCACATTCTGTTACTCTAATTTCAATAATAATTTTATATTTCGAGAAAATACATCGGTGAGCTTGCGGCACTATTTTAATAGATTGTTTAATTTATAAAAGGGAGAGCAATATTTTGACTGATTTATTGGAAAGAAAAAAGAATTTATCTGTCTTCGATTAACAAAAAGCCAACGAAATTAACGAAGAATGAATAAAGAAAAACATATAAACATGAAACAAAGGCACTTAGCCAGTATTAACATTTTAATAATAGCTTAATTAATGAGGCTATATCACTAACCTTTCATCTCTTTCTCGAAAAAAATGGCACAAAGGTCAAAACTTCTTTATAGGAAGGATGATAATATTATAAGGGTAATCTATGAATAAATAATTCATTTAAAATCAAAATGATACAACATCGAGAAGCTTCACCTGCTCTATCTCGTAACTCTACCGTAATGCTAAATTAATGACGTATAAAGAGAGTCAATCAATTAATACAATTATATGAATAATAATTGATAATAATATCAATAATAATAAAAATAATAAGAGGAAAAACGGACGAGAAAGAGAGAGAGAGAGAGAGAGAGAGAGAAATAAATTTGTTGAAAGTTTCAATTTCACCAACCGGTTTTATCAATTCTTTGTTTACCGTACCATTGAGCATACTTTGACGAATGAACACGAAGTGCCGTGGTGCTATCTCAGAAAATATTTCAACATTAATTAAACAATCAATGAGAATAACGATGAATTCATTGACCGCGAAGGGCGGACTTTTTTCATTCTGGGAGCCGTGTTTTCCGTTTGATCTGTCAGAAAATAGGATAGGATAAGTGAATGAATGTATTATGAAATTAGGGAGATTTAGTTAGTGATAGGAATGATAAGAGGTGATAGCCAGTGCGTACAGTACATCATTGCTAGCTTATTCTCTTCAAATAATTAGAATAAGACTAAATTGACTGCAAGAAGTGCCAAAATTTTACAGCACTTACTGAAATGTAGCGAGAGAGATGAAGAATATGAGGTAATTACGTAAGTCGCAGTAGCAATGATTGATTTTACAGTTCAACAGAGGTCAAAGTTCTAACAGATTCATAACAAATAACAGATGAGAAAGCAATAAAATAACTGAAAAAAAAGAAAAACTAAGTAGCATTAAAACAAGCATACAACTTGATCGTAGAAATCATATATTACTAATTGTAACAAATATATTTTATTTTGGATGAGGTATAAGTTATGTTGACTCTATGACGAATGATGAAGCAATATGTTAAAGATTTGACGATATCTGAGAATGGACAACAGCTTTAATAAAATATCACATTTTAGAACGCAATCGCTATGGTACTTTTAAATATTGCATTGGCGCTGCTAAATTGTTTGTTAGCATTACCGAGCTGTTTTGATCCAACTGGACGTTGCTTAAATGGTGGAGTATGTTTGAGGCAAATCACGAATGAAGCCCACTCAACTATGGTTAGCTTCTTTCTTTCCATATACCTAATTGCTTAATACTAAATGTCGTAATCTAATAAATTAGGTAAATCGTTTCATTTTATTTTATGAACTTCTCATCATCTATGTAACTTTTCTATAATCTATTGTGTTAATATTCGTATCTGTCCAGGAAATGTTTTTCTGCTATTCTCTCTATCCAAAATATTTATTCCATATTCATTACTGCATACCTAAATTGATTTTTTTGAAGCATTCATGACTTAAATTTTGCGTGGAGTGAACATTACTTACATTGGCAATCTTACAAGTTTTACCTTTTTCAAAATAAATTAGAATTACCATATAATGAGGAATATATTCAGAATTTCTTTACCTTTCCTTCTCTCTTTTTCCTTCTCCGAAGCATATTTGTTTACAAATATTGAAAGCTGATGAACATGGCAAGAGCTTAAATTCTTGAAATTAATTCATAAATCTAGCTCGAAATGTATGAAATTTATTTGATTTCCCGCTCTCTCGCTCTTAAAAAACTTGTTGAATTATTTTGGAATTTAAACTGAAACCAGATCCTGCAGCTAATTTGCAACAAAATAAGGTTTGGAAAATCGACCCGATGCTACTTCAAAGAAATTGTCAAAGAATTTATTCTCTTGAAAGTTTCGAAGTACAAAGAGAATATTTCAGTGTTCATGCTCAGCAGGTTATAGCGGTGAAAAATGCGAAAAAATTGTTGACATTTGTGAGGCATTTCCTCATTACTGCAATGCGGGTACGTGTGTAAGTGTAAACGGATCTGCTGTATGTCACTGTTCTGTGGGATACTTCGGTCAAAATTGTGAATACAGCTTCGATAAGTTGGTTTATTCTTTCACCGTTATCCTTTTAAAAATTTTGATTTTCCCTAACTTATTTGATCTGTAACATGATTAATATTTGTGATTTTGGTGCTCTGTTACTTTTACCATCACATTTTGGTCTCTTTCAAGCATTTCGCCACCATAGTTTAACGCCTAATTTGTGCTTGATTTATATTTTTTAGTGATTTACTTTGAAATATATCGTTGCCTCTGTTACGACACTACAAGAGAAATTTAGAGTCTTAAAATTATATCAGTGTTTTGTCTCACCATATTCTGTTTCTAGTCATTTTCCTTCGGGATGATTTTTAACAGTCATTTATAGATGCAAGCTTGGAAATATATGCAGAAATGGCGGCACTTGTATTGATGATATCTGCTTGTGTATGGATGGTATGTCTATCAATTGTTTGTCTTATTAATTGACACCCTAAAGCTCTTGCAGCCAGTAAATTTAACGAAATGTTCTCTTTTCAAATGGCTTGCAAAAAATTTTTTTCCTTTTCTAGGGTTTAGCGGTGAACTTTGTGAAAGGCATGTACCGGAAAGAGATGACTATTTGCGAACTGGATGTGAAGAATATCCGGAATTTTGTTCATTACGTTTTGCTGACGAAACCTGTAACGACGAATGTAATAATGAAAAGTGTTTTTTTGATGGTTTCGATTGTGTTGTGAATGCACAAAAGTGTAGGTAAGCAACAACTCTATCATCGTTTTTTGGTCATAACAAGGCCTCGTTGCAAGTTTTCTCGGAATTAATCAAGTCTCGATTCATTCTGGATTTTATGAATTGATTTTTTGTCAAAGAAAATAAATTTTACCATTTCATCTAGACTTTCTGACTATTGCGCTTTGCACTATATGGATGGGAAATGCGATGAAGAATGTGCAGTGCCAGAATGCGGATATGACGGTATGGATTGTGATGGGAATACGTTTTTTCGCGATCTAACAGAAAGCAATACGATTGGCATCATTTTCGACGTGTCGCCAACTAAAGTTCTTGATAAGATATATTCACTCCTTTCAAAACTTGCACAGGTTAGTTACTGGAAGTAAAATATTTGCATGCAATAAAAAATTCTGGATAGATGATATGAATAAGGTGGATTCATTGAAACAAATACCTAGCACAAATAATGATAAGGACTGCTCATTTGTTAAATAATTAAATGAAGAACTGATGAATTTGTAGTTCGAATTTTCAGAAACTACACAATCCAGTACATTTAGCCCTAGATAACAACAATAAAACTCGGATTTATGAGTGGTCATTTGAAAATGGAATTGGGAAACAAATAGATCTGAAGAAACGGTGGGAAATGTCAAGGTAAAATGTTTTTTTCTAATTTATTTTCACTTTTCATTTCTCATATAACTTTGGAACTGATAAGGTGCAATGTGTTGCTTAATTTGAAAAGTTTGAAAAGCAGCGAATATATGTATTCTTTGCATTTCATATTTATTTATTGAGAAGTTCCATGTTATTATCAATTTGTAAATGATATGTTTTTGTCTTACTTTTGGAACCATCATGGGGATATTTTTCAGCAGTTTATATTAATTTATTTTTAACAGTATTGGGAATATCTTTTAATAAATCCTGAGATTATTGATGGTTCCAGTTTTTAGCTGTTCCATGTTGTATTAGGAACATTTGTCATTACTCATTCATTTTCACAGAGTTCAAACAACTAATGGTTTTTAAATTAGTGATAATGCGAAAAGCTGTAAAGCAAAATTTAAAATTTTTTAGAAACACAACGGGCGTTCTGATTTACGTGGATATTGATTCGACATTTTGTAAAGAACGTCTCCATTTGAACGGGTCAAATTTTATGCCTTGTTTCACAGACATTTTTGGTGCCACTGCTTATCTTTATAGCGCACTTTATGATGAGGTTATTTTTAAATTCCATTTTTGCAATTCTCTGATTGATTCTGTTTTGAATTTTTTCCCAGTTTGAATTAGAAGCAGTATTGCCAAAATAATGATTCTAGGACAAAAACCGAATAAGCTTGGATGACGTTACTGTTGAAAGACTTTTCGTAGAAAGTAGTAGAAGCCGTTCTCTTCCGGTTATTGCTATCTTCTTTATTTGTTTTGTCTTAATTGGAATAACACTGTCGTGTTTCTATGGAATTTATGGATTTTGTGATGTGTTGAAAAAACGGAATCTCAAGAAAAATCGTGCTCCTGTTTGGAAAGTACCATGTTAGTTTTACTAATTATCTTGAACTTCAATTTAGCTTTGATTACTTGCAGTTATCTCAAACTACAATTATCATGGAGAGATTTGAGTGAAATGGTTCGTTCACATTTTTACAAAATTATTTCAAATCAGAGATGCTGTAAGGCATTATGACGGGTAGTTACTATTATGCCAATAATGCGCAAATTATCAATGCGGCGTCAGTTTTCTGGAATGCTTTGTTATTCATCTCTTGAATATATATATTCTATTATCACCAATTATTATACTGCCCAATTATTATACTCGGCTAAACTGGCCAACGAAACTAAAAACTGGGACGAAATGTGGTGTAATAATTGAAAATAATGGCAGATCACTATGATAATGGTGTCGCTGTATAAAAAACTTTTTATTTGGATATAATTTAAATCTAATACAAATAACAAGGTCATTGTTAATAAATTAAGAAAATGGAAGTGGATGGTAGGTGCATAATGGTCTTCGGTTCTAGGTAAATTTTCCTATCCTTTTTTTCAAAGTCATTATATTCAAAATTAATTTTTTCTGAGCTTTTTGCGTCTTATGAATTTATAGTGTGAGAAATTATATGTTTACATATCTTTTCGCGAAGTACAAAATGTTTAGCTTTTATTATAAAATTTTATTATAAAGAAAGTTGCATTGTTGCGAAGTAAAAATATTGAAGTAATATAATAAAGAAATGGATTTAGTAAAAGAAATATGATACTAAGAAATTAACATTTGTCGTTCTTTACTTTGTTTTTTCAAGTTTAGATTATTGATCTATTAGCTAGTTGTCTTGCATGCTTATAACCGAATAGAAAATAATATTTCACACTACTTGAATAAATTGCAACAAGGGAACACAGTGAATAGAATTATTGTATAACGATGCAGAATAATTTTTACATTTTCCAAGGTGTTTGTCTTACTTTTATTAATAGCATATTTTTTGAGTTCTATTCCACTAATGTCGATATAGAAGAGTTCCAAATGTACTGAAATCTCTATAATAGCTAATACAAGACGTAATGTTCTGTATTAATCATTTTATGTAAACAATTGGTAAGAGAGAGTTTGAAATTTATCTAATTTATATTAACCAGAAGTGTAAACTTTTTTCTTCAACTACTTTGTGAAGCATCATTTTTAATACAGAATAAATAACACAAAGATTGAATGGTTATAGCTAAGACTACTAGCTGCATTACGTTTAATTTTACGGTTCATCCTCTTAATAGCTTTTATTACTTATACGAACACTGTAATCTACAATTTTATCAACATTTGTTTTTATTGATATTTCATATTTTATATGAATTTGTTGTTCAGAAACTCGTTCAGATTTTCATCACGATGTACTTGATTTGGTTATTTTTAGCTTCTTTGGAAAGTAATGTAACCAGCTGGTCAACATTATCATCCGTTGAAGACTACTGTCCTGATAAGAATGCTTGTCGAAGAAATAGATTACCATCACTATCTGAGCTTTTCTCAAATTCATTTTCTTGGAGGCAAGAGCAGCCGGGAAATGTTAGTTTGTAATATCGGCATTTAGATTCTGCATAATTTTTTTCAGTTCAATTATAAATAAATATGTCTTTTCTAATTCATGAATCATTAACAGCTGGCAAAAAGCAATGAACGGAAGACACAAATCAGTCTGAATGCTTGCTTCAACGGTAAACTTTGATTTTTTAATTGGCTCCATGTTGAAAAATTTTTTGTTTATTTTGTTTTTCATTATGCCATCATTCCCAAAGTACTTACTGCCTGCTAGGTCAGACTATTTTATAATTATTATTCAGGGTTTTGTAACACAATTTAAACTTTAGTGTAGAAATCAAATCTTAGTTTAAAATCTCAAAATCTTGAGTAGTTGGAAGTTGATGCTACGTACTGCAGATAATGGTAATGGAGATTATTATTTGGGATCAGACTTATTAAAAGCAATAAAATGTAATGACATCAAAGGAGTATCGTTTTTGGTGCTTCATGGAGCGGATGTGAATTGTTCTGATTCGGACAACAATACAGCGTTGCATCATGCAGTGATTGTTAACAATGACCAGATTATTCGTTTGCTGCTAAGTACTCACCGATGTAATGTAAGTATTTTTAAGCTTATAATAAGGATTATCAAATTTTTGTCAAGTACACAGTAATTCTTCACGTGCATGCTTCATATCTATGAAAATAAGCCACTTGAATGTTTTTTTTGGAAGCTTGATAGTATGCGAAATTTAATTGTTTGGAGGAGAACATTGCCGCTTTCAGTGGATATCATTTTTTCATGCCTGCTTGACATTATCATTCTTTTTGCCTTTGATGAAGAGTTTTTGTTTCCTATTCAGTGTTGTTGGAATCTTAACATTTCTCGTTTTGCGTTATTTCCATCATCACTGCCTCCAAGGTTCATTAAATGAAATTTTTGCAGTTGCGAGCTGTAAATATCTTGGGACAAACACCACTCATTTTAACTGTTAGATTTTCGCATGTTTCTGATCTCTGTGCTCGGTGCATCCTTGATTTTATGTACACTGAGTATTATCGACAAGCAGAATCAGTAAATGGTACTTCCACATCACAGCGGATTGCTTTGATTCCGTGTGTTATGTTTTCATTATTCTACCGAAGTTGCCCTATAGATGTTACTTATTGTTTTTATCCAGAGAATTCATTATCAACTAAATCAATTTAATTCAGATTATGTTTCGATTACTTCCAAATTTCTCTTTTTTATCTCTGTGTATATTCTAATAACATCTATTTGATTTTTCATTTCCAGGCAAAATGGTTCATCACAATCAATGTTGATAACTCCTAATAATGTTTGCCGATTCGATCCTTCGTTGGTATGTGAAAGAATTTAAAAACGACATAGCATGAGAAAAATTTGCAATATTCCTTTGTAGCGGTTCTATTTCAGAAACCAGCAGGGTCAGTTGGTTGTGTTTCTGTTCAGGATATATTGTCCGAAAAGAATGATCCAACACTGACTGATATTTTCGGACGTACCGCTCTTCATTATGCTGCGCTTAACAGACGCATCGATCTTTTACCGATGTTGCACGCATTTGGTCTTAAATTAGACACCGAAGATAGCAAGGTTTTGAATGTTTTGTTGTGGTCTGTTCTCGTCACTGTTGTTCATTGCATTGATTAATCTATGGATGTATATAATCGAGACCTACACCCATCTAAGTTGATCCATGTGATATTTTTTTCCAAATGTAATATCCTTATTGTTTTAAAACTTTAGGGAGAAACGCCCTTATATCTGGCTGCCCGCGAAGGTCATGTGGATGTGGTTAATTTATTACTATCGTTTGGTGCAAATAGTAGAATCACTGATCAAGTATGTTTGCAAAAAACGGATATTGAAATATACAAGTTTTTCTGTTTCATATTTCGAATATTATTGAATTTACAGCTCGGACGCACACCGTTGGATGTAGCAAAGGAAAGAAGGCATTATCTTATTGTGGAACTTTTAGAAAATGTGAAAGTTAATAATGTTGATATTCCAAAGACACTGAAAAAAAAACGAATTCGTAAACCATCATGTTCAGGTACTTCAGGTATATCTATGCTTTTTAATAAAATTTCACGCCTTGTAGATATTCAAGCCGGATCTTTTTTAAAAAATAATTTGATTTCCATGAAGCAAATATACTGAAAGGACTTTGTAGTGCGGTCATGACTGCTCATCCCTAACTTATATTTTTGAAATATTTTATTCTTTCGTAAGATAATTAAAGAATCATTGCAGCTTAATTTTTTGCTGCCGTTCAACTTATTAATTTAAGTTTGTGTATAACACTTTGGCGAAAAAGAGGATAATGAAATAGTAACCAGTTCTAGATCCTATAAAAAGCAATAAGGTAATGAATAAAACACGAGAAAGGTTCAGGTGAGATTTTTCTTTTGTGTAATTCTATGTTCTGCTTAGTTATTTGAGTACATCAAAATATTTTCAGCGAAAGGTAAGTCGAAGAGGAAATCTCAGATTCCAGTTTCATCTTCTCAGGAGACCATGTCATTGATTTCATCAAATACTGCGATTGCATCGAATGTAGATTACATGGAAGACATTGGGGACATCAATGACGATATGGCAATATCAAACTCATTTCTGAATTCCATTGAATCGTTTGTACTTACGCCACCTGGACAAATATTGGCAGAAGCAGAAAAAGACTTTGATTTGGACGTTGTAAATCCAGGTCTCACTCTTTCGCACTGAGAGATTAGTAGGATTTTCAATATATGTTTATAGTCTTTCTTGAATATACCTCTCAAAGCATTGCAGATGGACAGGATTACATTGATCTTTCGACGATTTCATACCTTCCATCTGAATTTTTCCCTGATGACGCATTCTCTATGGAGTCTTTTGAGGTGCGAATATTTTGGAATGAACTTTTTGTTCTTATTTGCTTTTTAAATTTTCGAGCTATCATTCCGCAAGATATATATCTCTTAAAGGATTGAGTTTTATTTCCTGGTTTGGGACTGAATTGCTGGGAATTTGCAGTGGCTTACTAAATCCATCCATGATTCGTCCTCTCATAGTTTTCAGTGGCAATGTGTATGACATTTGAGGAGAATTTGGAATGGTTCTGTTTTCACTTGTTTTAAAAAATGTTTTCGGAATTAAAATTACTTTATTTAAGGTCGATGAAAGCATGGAAAGGTCTTCCACAATATAATTCTCAAAAATCAATTCGCAACAGCATCTTGTGAAATTAGCTGCTATCAGACTTTTCATTACTTGGATCGGATAGCAAATTCGCCGTTCCTTGTTCCATTAAATCATTTTTTCGAATGAATGCAATCAAGCATGAATTTTTTCGAATGAATGCAATCGAGCATGAATGAAATCATGGATTACCATAACCCAAGCGTAATGAACCTTTGATAAGAAGTTATTTGGTTTTTCCAGCAGTAGGCAAAATTCTATTTAATTGAACGGAATTTCGTACATTATCCCTTCAATAATTATTTAAATGAAGATCAGAATTATATTGAAAATTCTTCAGTACTTTTACATTGCCTTACGATTCATAATTTATCTCTCCTGAATGTCTCTTTTTTTTTAAAAAAAAACTAGTTCGTAATCTAACTATAATTGTTTTCGCCATGCAAAGAATAAAATCTTTTCTACTAAATCTTCGTTAAAGAACTAAAGGCGAACGGTGTCCTAATAATTTTTCATTTTGAGTCATTTCTTCTTTGCCATGAAAAATAGCTTAAATGTTTCTAGTTTCTTTTTTTGTAACGCCTTGCAATGAATGTGTATATGTGCAAAATCAGAATACAGCCTTAAGAAGCTATGTATAAGAAGAGTTATTTATCTTCGTATTCAACATTTTAATTATTAGGACCTACACAATTACGAAAGTGGACCATTATCTGACTAAATCCGATGAAACTAATGAGTGCAGTCCTTAATAAGTGCGAACGGTATCAATGGTGTATTATGACTACTGCTATTTTATGTACCATCTCGACCTGTCGGGCTGCCAATCGTTATGGCTTTTAAACTTATTGAATTTTAGAGGCATTCAGTGATGACATTTTATTTAGATTTCTTTTATTAATTCCTAGGCTTCTATGGAATTTTCTACTACTTCCTGCTATGATAAAAGATGAATGCAGCACTTTCTGTCACATTCATCGTTTTATTATATCCAACAAGGTTGAGGAAGCCAGATATAGTGATTCTCTTCGTGGAAATATTTTTAATAAAGTTTTGTATGCTCTGTTAAACACACGCGGACAACTTTGTATAACTAAAAATCTAGATTTAGCCATGTAAAATGATCACAAAGAACAGTACAGTAAGGAGACTGAATCACATTTTATTTCCATACTTTCAATAAAAAGGGCTTTAACGTCATAATCGACGGAAAATTACTCTCAAAAGTTAGACAAACGAAAAGTGAAAGAGGTGATCTATAGACTTTGCAATTATGAGTTAGAAGTTAAACTAATTTTCGAAAAACAAATGCAAGCAAATAACTGCAAATGATGGCGTGTATGAATTTAACCATGTTGATGAGGGAAGCAAAGGAGTAAAAAATCGAGGTAAAAGCAAGGTTCCCAGAGCCATTCTAAGCAAAAAGTCAAAGAGGAAACAATCTAATCAACTCATTAAAAATATTAGAAAAATTGATTTGTCTAGAAGCCTACTTTAAAAGGAAAACTTGCAGCCCACCCAAATTCTTTCCTCTTCATCTGCGTGAGATTTGCTCCCAATCATAATTGAAATCAGCTCATCTTACAAAAACTCTAAAGAGTTAAAAAGTATTTTAAATTTTCAATGCATGGTCTCCATTTATGAGTTTGTGGAATGTTTAAAAATTATAGGAGAGGACTAAATTTAATGTTACTAATGAACAGGGAAATATAGTTTGACTTTTCTCTTGTTGGAGACCACACATTATGATTTTTTTTTTTAATTCAAAATAATGAGCTGTCGATAACGAATACAATCCAACATTATGATTTTTCTGATTCAAAATAATGAATTGTCGGCTATAAGATTTGAAAGCTACCGCCCACTTTATTTAGAAAAATCGTTACTGACAAAATTACTACCATCGTTCATCTCTTGCACAGCTTTCCACAACTGTATCGCTTGCAGGTTATTTTCGGTCTCTTTATCGAACAATTCGTTGGCTAAACGTAACTAAAATAGGCAGAATTAAGGAAAGTTATTAACTAAGACTAACATCTTTCGCTCACATTCCATTCTCATAGACCTTACATTACAGTTTCAAAACTCTTCCACAATACCTGTGCTTTGACTATGAAAACGTACTTTAATAATATCGCGCTCGAGTTCTCGTCTACGATTAATAGCGACTTCTACATTCCATTCCTTATCCACTTTTAAATTCGGCCTATCTTCAGGCAGCGTTACTTCATCAGGTATACGGAAGATATATTCCAATGTGTAAGCCTGGAATTTTATGATCAAGCGCTGTTTGCTAATTAAAAATAGAACCATCTTTTATGGAAAGCATTTCTCAAAATTAGGAATTCAATAATTTCAATTTAGTAAATCTTGCGCCATGTTGGCTGAACTTGTAGTGACTTGAATAGGAAGCAGTACTCAGCTACAAGCTCTACCCGTCTTCAGTAAAATAATCAGACAACCTCTAGCTTATTCATGAGCGAGTTCAAGATATTGTTTTTGCCAATCATATTGACAAGTTCCATTTTCAAATGCAATTTCGTTTCACCGCTTACATCTTCAAGTGGCAAATTTGGCATTATTTTCTTCTCAACAATTTCTGCCCATTCTTCCAGGATTAAATTATAGACTGAAAACAAACCCATAGAATGGAAATAACGCTCAAAAAACCAGATTAGTTTTTGTTTTTAAGCTGCCAATGCAGTAAATTATGTTTCCCAATGTTAAAATTGTATCCCAAAGCAACGGTTACATATTACATCACTCATACACTTCATATTGGAGAGATTGTCAATAGTTAAAAGTGCAGTTAAAATGAAATTACCAAAACCAACAAAGCTTGTCAAATCCTAACCAACATCCGTAAATCCTTTCGGTAGGAAACCAAAAAACTGTGCTTCGTACTCATGCAATCCATCCCAGTCGCAACCTTTCATAGTTTCTGAAGATAAAACAAGTTATAACTCGATTTTACATATTGCCTAAACATTTATAGTGTTCCAACCGGAAATATCATGCAATCATTGATATCTTTGCAAGGGCATACTTAAGATCAAAAATTAACGGCTTCATATAAGTTCGCAAATTTTTGAGCATAAATGAAAAAAAAAAAATAGAAAAGCAGATATATTAAAATACTCATAGAGGATCAACAATCGCAAGCAAGTAGTGAAAACTGACTTCAATTTTTATTGAGTCACTTAATAATATAAAATTTAAGATGCAATAAAGATAAGGAAGAAACGAGTAAGTGAAAATCATTTACATAGAGATGTAGAAGCACTGCATACACTAATTTGTCCATTATCAACAGAGCTTGGAATTTACAACCTTTAATTCCATTACAGGATCATTAAATACTTAAATGAACAAAACTTGTAAAACAATTCAGTATAATATAATCAAATCACTTGAAAGTATTCTGGTTCAAATTGTCTAACCTTCGATGACTATTTTTTTCACAATTTTTGTTTGGGAAACTTTAAAGTGATATATTTGAAGATTTTTTATCTTATTAAAGAGAAAAAAATCATTGTCTTAAATAATAATAATGTATTGAAATAATATCAGCATTTTGATAACGATGTGATAAAACTGCCAGTAACAACAGTGATTTCGTAATGACGTAGAGCTGTATCCAGTTTTAAACTTTCTTCGTTGCTTGAACAAAAAATTACCTTCTCTGGCGTGGAAGTTTGAGACATTTTCTGATCCCCATTTTTCTGAAAGATTGATAGCAGAGAATGACTTAATAGGGAAGTGGAAAATTAGAATTTCATTACTCAAAAAAACAAACTGAAGCTCCCCAATAAAACTCAGAGCAACGCAAAAAAAATTCATGGTGTGTGATGTTTTCCATAATAATGCGTAAAAAAATAAAATGATCAAAACATCAATTTCCACAATGATGCGTGGAAGAATAAAATGATCAAAACATTTAAATCACCAAAATTTACGGGAAGGAAATTTCATGGAAATGTTGGAAAGTTGGCTTCTGATATATCGGAAAAGAAAAAGACGTTGTATTTGAGAGCGAGAAACGATAGGACGACCGAGTTCCACTAAGAATGGATAAGAATGATGAAAGGAATTGGAAAAACCCTCCATTTTTCTAAAAGATTAATAACAGAGAATGATTGTACTCGGTTCCACAAATTTGGTGCATAAAGTATGATATGTCATTCGTATTAAATCGACTAGATGGATAATTTGATTACTATTATAATTATTACTGCAGTTAAAATTACTGGAAAGAGAACCTTTGAACTATCGGGTTCAGCGTCCCTACTTTCCATATTAGGACTTTGTTTATCAGAAACAACGTCTTTAATTTCAAGATTTTTGATAAATGGTAACCGGGTAGTGCGTGAGCACAGAATCATGCAGCGTGCTATCCAACCTTGTTTGTTAGCAGTTTCAACTGTATTTTCTGATTTCCAGACTTTGGGCAGTCTGCTGCAAAAAAATTTTTGCAATTTAAATTAATAATATGCTGCAAATTAAGCGATAATTTTATATGCAATAAAATTTTGACTTGTATATCTTATACATCTCTTGTTCAAACAAAAATATATTTATAAATTCTAGTAACATCGAAGATATTTCATATGTTATATTTTGTTTCAGAGCATGGAAAACATTTACTTAAAGATTAAATAGTAGTGAACTTTGATAAGGAAAAAAAATTGATAGTTTTTTGCTTTATAAATCGTACTTCAAGTTTCATGAATTTGAAGCGAAAACTTACTTTTCATGCACAGGCTTGAAGATATCTGTAAATGACAATCTGGAATTAAGTGTAAAAGTCATTTCTTCCATCATTTCCTTGGTTATGTCGGTAGCTGTAGGAGATATATTCAATTTGCTGTATTGCCCAAGGACTTGCCTATACAGTGGGAAAGAGTTACACATGAAATGGTGAACAGCAGTCAAAGTGCAGTTCATTCTAAGCGATTACATTTATATGTACCGTTTACTACTTAAAATGTTAAGTTTCACAGCATTAGCTACAATATTCCACCGATATATGTAACCTACCTTGCAATGATATTTATATGATGGCGATCCAATCTAAGATATTGCTTGCATGTATTTACAACCAAAAGACTGTTATAGAAGAGAAACAATGCATCGGCTTGATCCTGCGGTTCTTTCCCCGAACAGAAGTCAAAACTTGCATTAATTTCAGCAACGGATCCGAAGTACTCTGTTAAAAAATTGAGATTAATGAAATTCAGAGATCATATTTCTATACTGACTATAAAGATTTGTCAAATAAAAAGTATAAAGAGTAACCTCTATTTAAAAATTCATCCATGCAAGCTCTTCGTAACCGTTCTAGACCCATTTCCAAATAAATTTGTATGGGAGTAAGACCCTCTAAACGTGGTAGTAGCAAATCGTTGGTGCATGCATCGCGCAATAAACGTGCCATCGTACACTTATTATTTGTAAGTATCTAAAGTTAGCATAAATTCCCTATTTTCTTCGTACGTTTAGAGTCACAACCAGTGTATCGCTTATATAGCTTAACTGCCAAGAAAAGCAAAGAGAGGAAACGAAAAAACTGACCAAAGTATTTTTATATCCTGCTTTCAAAGCATCAAAAACATATCTTAAAGCTTTTGTAAGATCTTGATTTGAATGGCAGTAGTGTAATATGAGCCACAGTTCCTCTGTGAAATCGTGAGGTATATCCAGCGGAACATTTTCTTCCAAATTTTTACCTGCAATAAAAACACTCAGACTTCTTTTAGATAAATTAGGAAATATATAACTCGATTTTTAGATAAATATATAACTCGATTCAAGCTAACTCGCCTGCAAAGTTCGAAATGAATTTCGATAACTAAATTTGCTTCATCGATGACACCACTTTCTACCAAATTTAATGAACTTCTAGCCCAAGAAAAGTTTTTTTTTACACAAATCACAAACACTTTAACATACTTTTAGAAAAAGTTGAAGTTTGATTAAGTAGAGATTGTAATGCAGACTTCATAAATTTCTTGTCCTCATGCAACCGATCAAAATTTGTATCTGGCCAAATCACTTTGCCGGTTCTCAGTGCACGTCCCAAGGTTAATACCAATTCCAACTCACCAGCCAGACTAAGATGAGGCAAGCGTACATCAAGCCAACCTGGTGATATCTTCTGCAAATAAAGATGTTTTTGGACAAATTACCTTTATGAAAAAAGTAATCCAGAAAAGCAAGTGTAATGTTTTAATACATTTGTAAATGCCTAAAAAGCATCACAAATTTCCTCATCAAAAAAGTTCTGGAAAGTTATTGTGGCAATAAAACAATTAATATTAATGTTTTTAACTAATAAAATTGAAACATACAGCAACGACAGAAGCTGATGGAACAGGTTTTGAAAGTATTCTATCGGAGCAGGGATTGGTATTTGTAAATGTCCATGATACATGAAGTTCTACAAATCCGGACACTCTATTTTGGTTGTCTTGATCACTTGTAACTATTTTCGGAATAACATCATACACACAACAAGCTATGTCTGGAGAGGCCTAAACATATGTAAAATTAAGCAGGATAAAATAAAGGTGGATGAACTCTTTTTAATGATAGCCAATGTAATGGTCACATTACTGACTACTGGAAATTATATCAGAGGTTTATGGAAACCGAAAGAGTAAAAATTATTTGCTAGGCGAAAAACGGCAAAACTTTGTACGATTCTGAAGATATTTCCCATTGAAAAAAACAATAAACTCACTTTATAAGAATCATAAAAGCGTTCCATATAATTCTCCAGAAATTTGACAGTACCTGTGTAATTTCGCGCTGAAAAAATTCGTCTTACACTATTTCTCTCATGCGACTGATGATATCGATTAGCGATTGATAGAGAATAGCATAAAATGAGCCAGGGGAATATACATTTTAGTACATTATGTCTTACGCTGCAGTAAGCTGAAAAGTTTTTCATATCTATGACCGATATCCATTAAAATCTATCATAAACAGAAAATAACTTACGCAGTGTTCTAACATGGTATGTCGCAGTGCCATCGTTCGTTTTACACATACCTAATAAACATGTGTGAAGATAATCATTCGCATCACAAAAAATCCAAATAATTGGATCTGAGACCGTTTTCGCATCAAATGGGATTCCATCGGTGATAAGTCTAAATATTTCTTATTGATTAAAATCTCCCAATGCATTAAAAACACAAATATAAGCAAGCTGTCACATTATGAATTATTACCAGTTAACATAACTTACGCGCCAGCAAGAGATCGAGCTTCTGATGTTTTCAGGGAAGATAAGGGAAACTGTTTCACTGCAGCGGAATGACAGTACTTATCAATCAAAATCTTTGGTGTATTGCTTGCCTGAAATCCATCAGACGCATCGATGCAAGATATAATTTTGGACAGAATATTAGCTATAAAGCAGTAGAACTCTATACACCACCCAAATCCTAACGATCTAAAAGTAAAAAATTTCATACTCCAAAATATGATGGTTTTAATTTTCAACAGTTTAAAAAAAAATTTCGTTTTTCATCTCTATCATGAATATATGGACTTTAAAAAGTTTATTATAATAACAGTAGAATGAAGAACAGCGATCTCCCACAACTGCATTTAAAAATTAAATCAAAAAATAAAAATAAACCCAAAATAAACGACAACCTGCAACTTCGACAATGTTAAAAATTCATATTTCAAAGGTGAAGCGCTATCCGAATTGCTTAGAGAATCTGACTCTTCACAGTCCTGTATTTGATCTTTGGATTCTGACAGATCTGTATCCTGAATAAATGAATTTTAAAAAGCTTGGAGCTACGACTATAAATCTTAGTACTACGACTATAAATCTTAGAAATAAAATATGGTGTGCCACACTTAATCCTTTCTCCAGTTAGAAAAATTATGTGACATTTAAAAATTAAAGTCGATAAAATACGAAATTTAGCAGCTTGACAGAACTTTTCTGTCACATAGTTTCAATATTTTTTATATATTCTGATATTCACATTTACGCTTATACAAATGTACTTCTGACAAGACCATTAATAAAACTTCATAGCCAGATTCTAGAAATACATTCATGTTAACACTATACGATACTCACCAAAACTTCGTGATCAGATTCTGGAAAGCGGTCGATTATCACGATTTCCTTTCCCATCATCCATGAAATAGTGTTGATCACAGGCACTTCGGAAGTATTTAAGAGACGAGCTCGATACTTGCCAAACTTAACAAGTGTATAATGGAAGACTGTATCATTGATATTGTAACAAAACGTTTCATGAAAGTATTGTAAAATGAAAGTATTGCATCGTGAAATGTCTATTTAATATTCTAACTTGACAGTTTTTTAGTTTATTAATTTTGCTTTTTTCAACCGTCGTTTTATGTGATTCACTTCTCTAAATACGCATCATCCCTTATTAGCCTCATACTATGACAGGTATCACATATAAATAGTGCTTACCAGTGTTGCACCGTTTCTAGAACACAGTTCTGCACGAGTGATATCCGGAGACATGCTGTCCGAAAGAACCTAAAACTTTGGACATAACTGTACAAGCAAGTGCAACTGAGATTTCGAGTCACAGCTGCAATCCCTATTTGTAAAATGACTATTAAAATTATAACAACGGAAATTAAAAATCATCAAAACTGTTTGCCTCAAATAGAAAAAGTAATAAAAACCCCTCATTCAAATTTAAAAATTTAAAGTAAATAAAACTTTATTCAACTTACAATCTTATCAAATGAACTTCTATAGCAAAAAATAAACACATAAATGCACTCAAACAAATGTCATTTATAGCTCAAATAAAGAACAGATAAAATTACGTCGCTAGGTAAAACTTGCTTAAATATATTTGATATATCAGATATCGATAAATTCTAAAGCAACATTCATATGCAGAAGTTAAAATAGAGTTACAACACACAACACCGAAACGGTACACAGTCGATGATTGAACAAATGATTTGGCTACTGAAATAGACTGAATAAAAGCATCAGGAAGCTATAACATACTAGAATAGTCGCACGGCGAAACCTAGAATGAACAGATTTCGGAAGCAACACTTTTCAAAGAAATCATTTGCACATAGAAACGACACTACAATAAATGAAATTGCACGCATCGTTAAATCCGAGTTCTTTGTTTTTCCTCCAACAAAGTAAGTTCCACCAATTTCTTAAATTCGCAATAAAAAACCGAAAAAGTCAACAGTGTTAAAAAAGATCTATCAAAGCAACTGTCCATGCAGTTCATGCTGATGACTTTGGTAGATAACCTGAAAGACGAGTAGGTGTGGGCAAACGTGATTTTTTACCACCACGATTTAGCATACCTGACCGATGCCGAAGTTCGATGTCATCCAAGGCTTGCTGTGGAATTCCATCATTACTGAACTTTTTTTTACACGAGTTCAAATCTTTCGGTGATGTAAACCCGTAGTTGTGATCGTTGTGTTCCATAATTTTGGTGCAAGAATATGTTTTTAGGTTGCTGATCTGTAGAAGCAGTAATTTCAAAAAAATTTACGATAAGGAATTTTGAAATAAGGCAAAACCACTGCTGTAAATAAATCCTAAAATTACCCCTGGAATGAGAAATAAATTAGGAAAAATAAAACAGTACCTTAACTCCACAAGAAAGCGTGACATAATAGATTATGAAAAAGACCGTGACACAATATATCCTATAAATAAAGAATGATATCGAACTAAAATTTCGCAACTCAAATATTTTAGTAATAAAGTGGAAAAAAATTAAACTTGGTAGCATTAGTTGACTAATTTATTTGCTAAATCATTTCGTTAGTAATCTGAAATGCTTCGATTCTCCACCCAATAAATCACAAATTCTCCTTTTCGCAAGTTTATTAAACTCAATAAGACAAACCATATAAAAGTGATGTATTCCGTCCGATGTTCGAAATTCGTGCCACAAATCGCATAGTACTCCAAAGGTTCATCGTTTACTGATCTTGGTAATTGCCCACCGGGAATACAATGAAAATTGAATAGCTTCTGCTGGAGTTCTTTTATGCAAAAATATTTTTTGCGGTATGAAATCTGAAACTATGAGTAATTATTTGAGCAAGTTAATAGAACTTCCACATGTATAAATATATTAATCTAAAATAAGGACTCGATAAAACCAGCAAAGACAGTTTTTCTGGAAGTTCATTAATTACGACAGATTACAAATGTATAAGAGACATGTAAATTAAAATCATACCAAACCAAAAAGTGAAAAAATTTGTTCCACTTCATCACACGGACCGATTGCCTGATATATACCTTCTGAAACGATGTTCTCAGGCGAACTAAACACTGCCAATAACATATGAAGCAAGAAATGAATCGCTACAATTAAAATCTCGACCAATAAATAAATGTCTCTTTCATTCAATGGAGCTTTAATCAACTGATCTTTTCCTGCTGAAACATATGGCATAATAAGACAATGCAGCTATAAAATCTTGATCTATTTACACTTCTATTTCAGATCAGCTAAACTTATAAAAATTATTATAACTTTTTCAGTTTTTAATCTTTATAACTTTTAGAGTGTAAATAAAGTATAAGAAGTAGTTTCATCTATTTAAAGAAATCCATATAATGCGCAATAAGAATTTCAGACCTCCATCATTCATGTTATATTCCATTCTAGAACTAAACAGTGCTTTTAACACTGTAACTGCATATACAATGAGAAGAAGCGTCAATGAAAACACAGAATGGATCTAAAAAGAAGTAATTATATATTTGACTTGTTTGAGAAATTATAGTTCAAATGACAAAAATAAATTCACACAAAAAGATTTATTACCCGGAAAATATCATGCAGGATGTGGAAAAAAATTATGTACTGCAACGTAGCGAGGCAAAGAGTAAATAATGATGCACCAACTACACATATGAATTCAGCAACAAATCTGAAAATTCTCTTTATTTTCTAGAAACTATAACAGTCATATGTTGCGGGGTTGACAAACAGTTTCAGTTTCACATCTGTAACATATACGATCCAATTTACATAAAGTTTTTAATTGCAAAATTATTAAATATTTATCATCGTCATATACAAGAATAGAACAAATGATACAGCTAGAGAAAAAATCAAAATTTCTAAACGACCAAAAAAATAAAAATAAGGAAGCATCTAGAACCTTTTCCAGTCATATTTTTCGTGAAGAAATCCTTTCCGAAATAGGTATAAACTGACATTGAATGATGTCCCTAGTATTGCATACCATGCCAACACAACTAGTGGTACAGAATAAAATCTGAAAAATTGAACAGAGACAAGTAATGTACGTCGGGACTATTCCCTAAATGGCCAGTATTTTGTTGCTGCTCTTTAAAAATGTTTTCGATGATTAATGTATAGAAAATTTGAGATTACTGTTTGAAAAATGCAAATAAGCGTACGCGCTCATAAGACGGGGGTCACCATCGTACCACTGCCACCAAAGTAACTTTGTACCCATCACATGTAAAGGTAGCGACAACAAAAGTACTAGAAGACCGTTTGCTGCAGCTTCGCCCCACCATTTCAAATGAATCCTGTAAAAAATTGCATACTAAGTAGAAAAAATAAATTCATATTGTAGTGTAATCAAATTGCGCTTTCAATATGGGAAACAGTATATTAAAATATCTTGAAATTAAACAGCAGAAGTCATTTCAAGATCGAATTTGAATTGAATAACAAAACATGCGAATTACCTTTTCACTATAACATATGAAATGTAGAACAATGTGTGGTAGATACCACATAACAAATAAAACGGAGTACGCATCCCCATAAATGTTAACATTGTTTGACTATAGAATACAGTATTCATGCTTTCATCGAAAAATTTGATACTTTCAGTAAAGAAAGCCAATAAATAAACGCCAATCCATGTATATACGTAACGTGAACCATTATGGAAAGCTTAAAATTATGAAATTTCTCTGTCAGAAAACGTTTTCTTATAGTGTTACTGAACTTTTGGTTCAGCTAATTAAAATACATATATGGTTAGAACAATAAAAAGTAGATAAAAGAAAATGAGTAGATAAAAGGAAAGAATATTGATGGTATTATTTTTTAAAAGATTTTATTAGTTTTTTTGGAGTTTTTTTCTGATTAGTTAAACACACCATATAGTAAAATATTACCACAAAAAAGCGACAACAACCAAAGTACTGAATATACGAATTCTGATATAACCAATGTTGGGTGTTTTTCTATCAGTGGCTGCAATTCTCGAGTCTTACATAGCCAATCTGCCATCTGTAAACATTTTGGAAAAAGGAAAAATTAAAAATTAAGAAATTCTTTAAATCTTTTAATTTTCTCTTGAATCCTATATTCAAAAGAAAGTAGAAAGTGAGAATATTTAAAAAACAATAAATCTGTTCGAAATCTCTTAATCTCATAGGAAGTATCGGTCGCAAACACTCACAAACGAAATTTCTGATGAAATTGAGTTCGAATCCCTATTTATATTTATGCAAATTAGGAAACACAAGGGAACTACATTTGACGAATTTTTTATAGCCATAAATATCACGTATGAAAATTGTATGGGAGAATCAAACTTTCTATATTAAAAGTCAAGATGTGCTACAAATCTAAGAAGCAATATCAGGTTATGTAAGTAAACTTTTCAAGATCAAAGTTTCAAAAATAAAGACTAATTTACTTATAAATTGCACAGAAAACGAATAAATGATGAAATAAAGGCAACAAGCAAGTGCTAACTGTAACAATTTTTATCACCACTGATATGATATTCTTCCTCGTATTTGGACATATTGTAAATGGAAGGTAACGAAACACATAGATATCCAGCAGATACTCCATAATACAACTAAAAATAAGCACTTTATCACGGTACGTTGCTCAAAATAGCATAAAACAGCTATGACTACATATAAGAACCTCTTTAAAGAATATTCTTTTTGCGGAATCTTTTTTTTTATAATATAAATCGGTAAATAAATCGTGCATCCACAGCTACTTATTGATTTATTCCTATAAATCCTTCTCCATTGATTGATTCATAGTGAACAGATTTTGATTAGGTTTTTGACGTTATGACAAGCAACTACAAATTTAAAATTGAGAAATTTTTGAAAATTTATGTTTAGTGGTCTTTGATTGTGAAACTGTGCTTGTGATCCGGTACCTCAAACTTATACCTTACAAATTGAAATATCTATCTCAATTGGTTTCACAAATGCATAGATATCTTAATTCAATTAATACTAGCCGTGATTGAAAATTGAACAAGCTTTATTAAATAAAGTGAATAGACTTCCTTATTTAACTATTCTAAATTAAATCATGATAGAGAAAGGAAAAACTCAATTCCGTTTTAAAATTCATTATAGTAGAAATACGTAAAACACATGAGGCCAAAATTTGTAAAATTTATCCTTTCATACAATCGGACTACCGTACACAGTGATAGATGAGTATCGTTTCCATTTACTTTTCATATCATTTGATAATTGAACTACGAAAAATATTTTCAAATTAAAATGATTTCAACTTCATTTCAATTAAAAAATGATTTCAATGCAATGAAAAGATAAAGAAAAATTATTTCAAAGAAAAATATAAATTAAAAAATTCTAAAAATAGTGCTATTTACATCGTCATTTTGAAATTCCAAAAAAAATGGGAGTAGAGAATAGCATTGAATAAAAAAATGAGTGCCTCATTTCATCATTCCAATTTATACAATTAATGTACTGATGATGAGTCAGTAATGCTTATTTTATGTATTATCAATTTACTGCCTCTCAAAACAGAATGCTAACCATCTATTCATACCAACAAATTGACCATCCTAAACTGACCAGCTAATGACCACTACAACCTTATCACCACCAACCTGACTCCAATAGCGCCCAAATGCCCTCCCGCCAAATGCAGCATTTCAAACTAAAAACCACTCTGTTCATCAACGGCCAACCGCGAAATTTAGCATGCATGGAGAAAAGACAGACCGGGCAAAGTGTCGGTGCTGCTAGCAAGACAAGCATAGTGAACAGCGAAAGAAGCACATTTGTTAGCCGTGATGTAATTAGCTGTGCTATTTTGTAATGTCACCAATCCTTCTCGCTTTTTTATTACATATATTTTCTCGTGACCGTTCTTCTCTGTCCTTATGACCATCATCGGTCCTTCAGTTCTACCTTCCATTCAAGAAGGTTATAACGAGAGATTGAAAAAATTAGCGTTCAATGATGGAAGCCTAATGAAAAGCATCTTTTCACTCATAATTCATGAAAACAATGAGAACCTGTTCCGTACCATTTATTAAACTTCAACTATAGTTGCTAGCAACTTCACTGGTCAATTGCAATTCCATAGAAGAAAAGTTCGTGAACTAAGGTAAATTTTGTGTTAGTGTTTTTCGAATAATTTTTCATGCAGCCAGCTTAAAAATTAACATCTACTGCTAATAAAAAAGCATACATAAGCGTTTATGCAATCAAATGAAAAAGAAATTTACATTTAGCTTCATTTCTTAAACACTTAATTATCCATTCAAAATCAGAAGCATCAAAAGCATAAAAGAAGATGTGAAGTTTTATGGCTAGTAAAATGCATGATGTAGAGAAGGGAATGTAATGGAATATGCTATTGCTTTCACATTTCAAAGATAAAATATCAAAGATTTAAAGATAAAATATCAAAGAAAAGATAAAATACCAAAGATTTACTTTTCTGATTTGCTTTACTCTATTCGATTTTCGTAATTTAATTCTTTTTTCTTGGTGAAAAGAGACTGTCAATTGTTTTTTGATATATTATTTAGTTCATATCTCCTCAAGTTTCTTCAATCTCATTTTATTGTACCTGTGGGTACATTACGTAATTTTATAAACAAAGCAGTGGATTCATAAATTCGATTAGAAGTAGTTATTAAAAGTTAATGAACAACTACTCTTAAGATGGGCAGAGATTATTCACAGAGATTGATTGGCTATATAAAGATATATTGAAATTCGCTTCACCGTTTCATGTTTAATAATTCCTTTTGTTTATTCTAAATATCTTTTAACGCACATCACGTATTGATTTATTTGGAAGACCAAAAAGTGAGGGATGAATTTAAAATTTTTTGTTGTGTTTTTTTCAAATGTTGAAGCTATTGGAATCATGAGGATGTTCGGATCAGATTAGGAAAGAAGCGAGCACGTGACTTCAACACTTTTGCACTGATCTTCCGGTCATAAAGAGATGACCTATTGGTTATTGATTTCACTGTACCTAATTAATAGGTGGATTATATTGTGTGTTAGAAACGTAATATACGAGCAGTTTTGATGTTTCATTATAATCTAGATGTGCCAATTTCCTGACTGAAGAACTGTCGTCTCTTGAGTTTCCTTATATAATTAATTGTTGAAGGAGAAGATGGGTTACCTTAACTGCATTCATGGAGTTATAAACGAAATTAGAGGTGTAGAGAGACAAGAGAAATGCAGATCATTAAGAAGCAGAGCAAGAAAAACAATGTTTTATTGAATTTCCGAGTTTATTCTCTATTCTCACTATGTTTTCGAGTAGCATCAGATATTCATTTCCTTAATTCTTTACTTCGTTTTAAAAATTTAAATATTAGTTCAGGATAAATTTTACATTCCTAAATGTATTACCATATGAATTTTTTATTCTGTTTAATTTATAGACTTATGTAATGGAAACATTAGAAGAAACGAAACATGCTGTTACGAAATGCAGTACATTTACTGGTGGATTACATTTGGTATGTTGTTAAAAAACCAATTTTTTTAATTAAAAGGAAAAATGCTCATAAAATCAAAATTCCGCATAATCAACGAATTTACTGTATCCTTCGCTTCTGGAAGGCTTTAATTTCCAAAATTTATTTCTATATCCAAGACAAGTGGGTTATATTAATGAGCCGCTTCTAATTTTATCAACACTCTTTTCATTTTTTTAAGCTTTTAGGAAAAATTTTTGAGTTTTCGAGGTTGTAACTGTTGAGTTTAACTGCAAATTTTTTCAGAAATCGAAAAAAATTTATTATGCCGTCCTGAAAGGTCGCATTTTAGAAATTTACAAATCTTCAAAAGAAGTCAGGGAAAAAAGCGAAACTCTTATTTGACCTGTCTTTAACATTTAATATACATCTACATGTAAGTCTTATTATTTCGCTGTTCTGTGTACTTAAAATTTTTAATAGAATTGAGAAACTTTATATTAAAGCGAAGATTGCAAATATTGTTCGGTTCACATTGCCATGTATAGTACCATAATATTTTGACCGCGCTGTGCTCATTTCGAATAGCAAACAGTTTCCTCCAACAATTTTGCATTGAAGATGTCTTACTGATCTTATTTTGAAGTATGATTCCGCGCTAAAAGATTGTATTGCGCTGATGATGCCGGATGAAACATTTTTGATGCGATTTGAAATGGGATCCGATATCTGGTTTGAGATGTTGATTGACAGAGTTTGTCAAGCATGCTCCGCGAAACTAGGAAGACCTGTATACAGAGATGAATACTTCGAGATATTTTTTTAGGTCAATTTTTTTGCTTTTGCAAAAAAATATTTTGCTTTCCACATATTATATTTTATAAATTTTTTATATGTTTTCAGGTAGCATGGGATGTGAAACCGATAAGATAAGAAAGCCGAAATTAAGTAAGAAAATTAAAGATGAGGAACTAGTGGAAGATTTGGTTGTAAAAAATGAAAATTTTTTCTTAGGAAAGAAGAGGTATCTCGGAAGCTTTGTGAAATTGTAATTTCTCATGCTGAAAGAATTCTAACTTAATCAGAATTTTAGTTCTGCTTACTTCCATAAATCTTTTTTTTCGTTCAATAGCCTACCAATGCACAGGCAACCATTATCCAAATGAATAGAGGGTGTGAGTTTCATTTTTTCACTTACATTAGTTTATCGGAAGTATTGTTATCTATGTAAGTTGTTCAAAACTTTACCATTATTGTCAAGTTTATATCTAGTTTACAAACATGGTTTGAAGGTTATGCATGTATCATCATACTTTGTATATTGTACGAAAAGGAGTCGTAGCAAGCAAAGATACAAGTCCACCGTTTTGTAGCGATGACTATATTGCATTCCCAGTAAGTTCGAAATTTTATTTAACAGTTAGCATTTTCTTTGTAATATTGGTCATATTGTGTTTGACACGTACAAGTTTTTTATTTTGCAAGCAAGAATTCTCTAGTGAATTTTTGTCAACTACTGAGCAAGGATTCCATCCATAAAATTCGATTTCCTTTCATGTTTTTTTTTTTTGGAATCTTTTTTTACTTGCCTAAAATTTCGAATTTACTGTTATCTTCAATATGTTATGGATTTCAATCTAATTTATTCACCAATATTTCTCCATAGGTTACTGCTATATCAATTTATGGACATCGCAACAAATATTTCTTTTTTCGTGCGGATCGTTGTGCACCAACGGGCGCGGGAGAATTATGGTTTTGCACTGATAACGGTAAAACAGCTTCATCAATCAATGACAAAATTATCAGGATATGTGATCGAGAAAGCGAAAAAAAGAAGGTACAAGGTCGAATGTCAGTTTTTATATTTCTCTGTTTTCTAGTTTTTGATAACTTTTCATGCTTCATTTGTTTTTGACATGTGCTATATCTAATATATTAATTTGCATATATTTGCAAAAAAATATGAAAGCAATCATTGATGTATTCTTATTTGCTAATATGTTTTAATAGCAGTAAAGAAAATTCACCTGCATGTTTTTCTACTAACCTACTTTTAACGAATCAGTTTTTTGACAACCTGTGTAGATTTCTTTTGCAAAACAACCGTTAACTCCAACCTTTCTTCTAAGTAAATGATTGTTTTTTAGGCAAACTTTTTCAGGTGCTTTTCGAGATCTAATGTTCCTACACGATCTTCCAGAAGTCAGACACATCGCGAAAGATCTCATACGCAACGCTTATCTGCTGATGTTGCAGGGTTTGTTATTGTTTAAAATAGAGCTGTATTATATGAATTGCGCATAAATAAAACGATTGTTTTACTGCAACTGTATTTTCCATATTTTTCATTTGAAACAAAGAAAATATTGTTTTTTTTTCAAAAATTGCAAATTAGAAAGTCCGATTTTTAAATGTGCTGATGACTGCGCTGTAATTAATTGGCGCATTAATTAAGACATCAGATGCATTTCTGGAGTTCATTTTTTGTAGCATCAAATCTTTTGGGCACAAGCTATCCGCACCTGATCCTGGATTTTTGAGCTCATATTTCTCTCAACAGTCATTGGCTATTGGTGCTGCGACTGATTAAAATTAATATCATGGAAATTCTGTGCCCAAAATTGAAACGATAATAGTCATGATGAAATTGGCAGTAGCAGCAATGAATTTCAAGTAAGGATTTTAGCTAGTTTTTAGAATGATTTAATTTTAAGACCAATGGATCTGCACATGATTCCTTGGAGCTCATAGAGCTCTTTCCCATTTGGAAGTTTGTTTAAATTTTTTTGACGGAAAAGAATGAAATTATCATATGATAAAAAGGAGAAATATAATATTGATAACGTTTTGAATACATTGATAACTTTGCACCATGTTTTTAAAGCCGGATTTTATGAATTCATTGCTGTAGTCAAAAAATTATTGTAAAAACAATAACGTTTTTTGTTACTGTTTTTACAGAATTATTACTTATACTATAGGTGACAAAAAAAAACGAGTTACTGATCCTCAAATTTTACATTAGGAAAGGAGTTGGAGCAAGTTGATAAGAAATTTTTGCATTCTCAGTCTACTGTAAATAATGGAGAAAAGGAACGACAGCGGCTTGCTGATGGTTACAACTCATTTTCAGAGGATAGGCACGAGCACGTTGATTCAAGTAAGTAAATAATAATTGTGACAGTTCCTTCTTTTGCATAGATAATTCTATTTGGTGTGTGAAGTTATAAACTCTTAATTTAAATCGATATTCTCTTTTTATAAATTATCAAATTACTGGGCTGCAATCATGCAGGAATAAATTTTCAACAAATTCTGATGAAATTCTGTTTTTATTTTGTACAGCTCGTAAAATACTAGCATTTGTAAATTTTCTATTTCTGTATTTTAAAGATAACTCTAAACCTTAGTTTTTCTCTTATTTTTAAATAAACAAAATATTTATTCTTAGATAGACATCCGCGCTTATAATTTGACTTATCTGTAAACTGTTTGGAATAGCGAATAGGGCGTTCATTTGAAGTGTTCATGTTACAGTATATCATAAGCTATATCTATAGCTATAATATATCTGTAATATTCTGTGAGAAAACAAGCGAAACAAAAACTATTCCGAATTAAGAAGGAATATAAAAGTGAAATAAATATTCGTCGATTTTAGAAACTTCGCAAAGTCCATCGGATCCGTTGGATAGTTATACTCCAATGGGTTGGCCTGAGGATTGTAATTGTCAGTCCACTTCTACTTGTTAGTTTTTTTTCTGGTGAGTTGCACACTAAAATGCGACTGATTTTTCTTACTTATTTGAAAATTTGATGTTCTTATTGGTTTTTCACATTTCAAAGTAGCTGTAGATTTAAAATATAACAAACTTTTGCTGCGTTTAGTTTGTGTGAATAAAGATACGACCGAAATTGTGCATCAATTAATAATGGAAATCGAGTCAAATGAAAATGAAATGTTAATGTCTCTTTTTTTAGCGAATTTGAACTGTGAATTAGTTGAAGTGCTATCTTATATGCCCAATAGCTACGCAAATAGTGAGATATCTGGTAATGTTAAACTTGGAACGTCTTTTTTGCACTTTATTATGTTAGCTAAAAGTTTACAGAAAACAGTATTATGCTTTTATAATCTTTCTTAATATTATGTTGCAGTCTGAAATTAGAAACTTTCTGGGTGATCCAGCCTAATTTTTAGATTCACAATCTTTGCCTCGTAGGTACTTTTCGCAAGTTACTTCTTGTTATCTATCTAGGTACATCCTGATATATTCAATAGTGCTACGAGTAAAAGTCTCTTTGACTTGCACAGAAGAACACATTAATTAGGCAGTAAATCTTGCTATTTGCCTCGCTTTTTCTCACTTTCTAGAAAACTTGTTGGAGAAAAAATTTTGAAAGGATTTTTTTTATTCAAATAGTTTAAATTTTATGTTGATGAATTGTTCTGTTTTTTGTCTGAAAAAAAATTTTTTTTTAAGGGTAAAGACTCTTCGTAAAGACCCTTGACCTATGCATTGAATGTATGAGTGGTGACAAGGTGCTACACGAATCGGTAGTTTTGGAGATTTGAATGGTTTGTTGGAAACATTGGTGATAATTTTAGTGAAATATCTCAATTCAAAATGGATTGTAAATAAAGATTATGACTGAGGATATATTTATGATGAACTTTCGTAATTTCATAGAATTCTTAGTTTACTAGGAAATCAGGAGGTATAGACATTTAGTCTTGAAGAAAATTCTAAATTTTCTCGGATTTATTTTATTAGAAAACAATGTTATAAAATTAATATTGAAATGCGCTGAATTGAAACTTTAATTTGTTATTGTTTTTCGTAAATTTTGCTGATATCCTTAGAATTTTACTGGGTTCATTGTGTCAACAAAGCTATTTAACTTTTCAAAAATTTGAAGTCTGTTTAGGCAAGAGAATAAGATCCTTTTCAAGTCAGAGAGCAAGTTCATCACTTCAAAGAAATCAGCAAGCTGATATCTTACGGAATGGGATTTTGATGGGTAGGTTATGAAATTCTATTCAATAATTTAACATTTTTGAAAAAATTGATCAAAGAAATGAACTTTGAAACCAAATATTCAAATATGAAAATACAGTGTTAGCAATAAGGAGTACCCAGGAATATTCCTTAGTTATCAATTATTGTATTAACATTTTGCTCAACAAAGAAGATTTTATAACAATGTGACGATTTAAAATTAAATAACAATGTGACGATTTAAAATTAAATAACAATGTGACGATTTAAAATTGTTAAATGAATGCATCTTTTCAGTTTCAGTGATAGGACGGAGTGGAAGTAATTCAACAATATCAATAGAGTGTTCAAGTTATTCACATACAAGTTCTTTAGATATTGGTAATTCGATGGTGTTATATTCTGCTACTAAAGGTGTTCGAAAAGTTAGAAATTATTTCGAAAATCCGTGTAAAAAAGTACAGTCGGCAGCTGATTTTGAAGTAATTAATTATATAAGATTCTTGAAAACCAATGAAAGGGGCTGCATATTGCGGAATGCTCAAATATTTTTTACTTCTAGCAAAAAAATAATTCGAAATTGTTGCCAATAAATGATAATATATATATTTGGCCGTTTTTCGACTCGTCTGCCGCTAAAAATGCGGTGAAAAAAAAATGCGGTATGTAGCACGTCAAATCATTGGATTGAGAATCGAGAGTAACTGTAAAGAAAAATTTTCTAGATATCTGAAGAGACATTAGCAAAGAGTTAAATTACATTGCCAATGATTTGAAAGTCATAGTTTCCTGTACCACCTAAAGAAAAAAGTTCGAGTGAAAATAATGAAGCCAGTATTAGTTCATTATCTTTAAAAACTACTACAAAGCGTTCTTCTACATTTAAGGTAATATTTTGGTTTTTTTTAATTATTTTTCTTGTCTGTTGGAGGATTAACATATCTAAAAAATTTTCATATGTTCATAGTTTCACATATCGAATTCATGATTATCAAATGATCTTACTTGCTTTTGAATTCGAAATCTCACTCAATTCCAAGAAGTTTTAAACTTGACTTTCACTGTTCAGTGTCTCATAATTTATGAATTTCAGCATTAAGATTTTCAATAGCTTCGTTAATTTACTTTAGCAATTTGTTTTGGAGACCTTATTTCCATATTCTTGCAGTTTTTTCACATATACATTAACCTTCATTTTTGCAGCGAGCAGACGAGACTAACTTCAGTCTACAAAATAATAGATTAAAGGTAGCTAAGATATATGTTCAATGCAGATATATGTTCCGTATAGTTTTTTTTTTGCCGCCACTACCGTTTTGTGGCAGCTTTTATAAAGCAATTTTCAAATTATCATTGAAGCTTTCATTCTTAAAATCTCTATATTTGTATTCTGGTTATCTTTAGTTAAAACGTGATGATAAATAAGTCTGATGCAATTTCCAGATAGCGGCAGAAGTTTCATACGAGTATGAACGTTTCGATTCAGATGGTACTTTTGTAAAAGATGAACAAATGAACCTAGAATATGCAACTCTACATTGCCATTAATCAACTGCTCCTTTATCATCTCGGAATAGTTTGCTACCGGAGATTTGATCGATAAAAATTATCTGAAGAAATGTGATTATACAGTTATTCAACCACACAACTCTTAGTATAAGTCATTCTCTCGTTTTTCATTCTTTCTGCCTTACGGGTTTACGAAGCTTTGAAACTGATCAACATACTATTTTTGTAGCAAAAAAATGCAATGCTGTGTCCAAACTAGCGAAAAGTCTTACATCTCTTTCATTTGGTTGTTAGTAACGGTGGTTAAGTTGAAGTCATTCTTACATAAGGTTGAAATTCGTCCATTTTATGTTTTAACAAAATCTCCAGGAAACATCCTTTTAGTTAAAAAATTATTCCTAAAAAATATTTTATGCCTCAAATTACATTTTATGATAATTGCTAAATGCCGATTGTGTGGGAGTTATCCAACTGTAATTTTTATAATTATTCGAACTGAAGAATTTGCCAATTCAGAAGTAATGTTCACCTTCTTATACCATGCCAACTTATTGATCGAATTTTGGCTCAAAGCGTAACATATTCATGTAAATTCATGTATTTGTGTTTTTTTTTTCTCAAATAATTTTTTCATTTATCAATTTCTGATTGTGGCTTTTTTTGTTCAGAATTTGAATAGATTCTTTGAATGTCTAAGGAACGATTTTCATATTTAAATTTGCTTCATTTTTGTTATCATGTTATAATATGCTTTGTGAGAGTTTGTTTCTTTCTCATTTCATTTTCCTTTCATAATTTCAGATGATTGTGAAATAAAAGGAATTTATAGGACCTTTAAGTAATGCTATCCTTTAACTCATATTTACATTCCTTATCTATTGTTCCGTATTTTTCGCTTGTATATACTGCTGTTATTGAAAGGCGGTTAATTGCCTTGTGATAAGGGAAGTGTTTTATACGTGCGGAAGTTTTTGTTTGCATGTTTTCAGTCCTCAGATCTTTTATTTTATTTATTCCAGTGATACTATTTAGTATAAGAACAAAGCTACAAATGTGCATCATATTTGAAAATTGTTTTAATCATTTATTGCGTTGATCTAGTCTGTTATTTACAAATATTTCAGTTTAAATAGTGATTTTTCAGTTTAAATAGTGCAGTTATAGGCGCCTGTTCATCCATTATGTCTAAATTTCATTCCAGTCTTGAATGTATTACAAATTTTACTTTATTTTACAGACCCGTCCTCCCCCTCTCCTCCCCCTCTCCTCCCCCCCTCCCCAAAAAAAAACAAAAAATACAGTTTGAGTGTGCAATTTATACTAGCTTTAAGATTTTTTTTCACACAACTTACAGTTTTAAAAAATGTTATATGATTAAAAATACTATGTATTGCATTACGTTGTTTGATCCAATTAATTAAAGGGATTTCTCTAAACTTGATAATATGTTCTGTGTTAATATTACCGCACTCATTGACTTTAAAAACATAATACAAATTGGAGGTGATTCAGAGTTCAGATATTTAAATACTATTGTGAATTTGAGTGATGTATTTTTTTGTAGCGAAATTACTGTAACGTTGCAAATTTAATTCATTAATTAAAAGAATTTACATTTACAATTTTTTTTGAAAAATCTTGTTGAATGTCTTTGATGTGTATTTTTATCTATATGTTTTGACCTAAGTGTAGAAAGAGAATTCAGAATATATACTGGAATAATTATTTTGAAAGAATTCAACTTTGACCACCAATAGTCATCCTTTGCTATTATACTATTCATTAAGAACGTATGATAAAATTAATAATAAAATTAAAATTAATATTTGATGAGATTACTGAATTTATCTAACAGGGATTTCTGGATTCATCTTTCATTTTTCAGGTTTAATGTGATGCAATCGATTAGAAGTTTGTTTTTATGAATCTGTGGTCTTCGACGGGTTATATGGGTACGGGACACAAAGCATTGTTTGTATGGTTGTTACTCTTGCTTGCCCTTGTCTTCCTAGTTGTTTACTTGGTTGGTTTTTTTTTCTGCTTTATAATTTCGTTAAATTAAAAGTAATTTTAAATATTTCCTCAAAGATTCTGTCTAAAATTAAATCGGAAATTTTCAGGATGGTGGTCTAGATGGCGATCCGTTGATATTTTTTGTGATTTTAGGATTTTTTGACATCCTTTTTTTATCCACAGCATTGATTAGAATAATGCGTCACTATCAAATTTGTGGTGTGGGGAAAAGGCAGTACGATATGAATGCACCATATCCTATGACATCATACGTTTATCCTCTAACAAAACGAACCTCTGCTGTTGTATTTGGTAATTTCACTTATTTTTATCTGCTGATAACTTTGCATATTTTTTGGACTTTAATAAACCATTTCACTTATTTTTATCTACTGATAACTCTGCATATTTTTTAAAGTTTAATAAACTACCACGCCATTTGTCATTGCACAATTATTTCATTTTGTAATAACATCAGCAATGTTGAGCTAAGAACGAATTTGGTCTTATAGCTTTACGATAATGGCGTAGTTTATTCTCTTCTCAATTAGTTATTAATATTTTTAAAATCACGATACTTTAGAAATACATAGAGAAAAGCTGATATTCAAAATCAAGAGTATTTTCAGCATTATTGGTTTTCAAAGTTATTTTCGAAGTATTGCTCTATATTCGATTAAAATTTGGTATGATCCAAGTATTCTGGTTGGCGGTGCCACTTTGGTTATTTCTAATCGTCTTGATCATCGAATTAACTTTTCGCTTGTTTAGTATACACAATAGACCGGCAGTAAAAATAAGACAGCATAGTTAACATTCAATTTATTTTAACAATGAATTGGAGGTTAGCTTCTTTTATTTAGAAATGTAGTCCAATAGTATTGCATCTAAAGAAAAGCGAATTTTTTTTTCATATTTTAGTTGTAGATATTCATATTTGTCAAAATCTCTAGCGACATTATATCCATGGTTTTTGTGTTCACTTCATTTTCTTCATATTGGAATGAAATTTGTGTTCACAATGAACGTAAACTGATTATTAGTCATTGTGCCATCTTAATATTTATACAGTAGCATATAACATATTTTTATTTTTCTGTGTATAAGCAATACATTGATAAGATAAAATGGTTCAGTAATAATTGTCATCTTGAATTTCTCTGAGAAAGATTATGTTTATTATGTTAACCGAAGAAAGAATGCATTTCTTCCTTTAATTCATTTCATTTAATGAAATTTGTATGTCTATAGTCAAATTTATATGTATCAGGTTGAAATGTTCGGATATCAACATAAAACTTTTTTATTTTAATAAATGATATTCATGAAAAAGTTTATTTATTATGAATTCCAAGAAAATTCATTGACACTTAGCTTACAAAGTAGATGAAAAAATTTATTTTTTTGAAAGTTTCTTTTAGGATGGAGAGAAAGCAATTAGTTAAAAGAATCGATGATTATTTTTGTAAGCTTACGTAAGGATGAATTATTTGAGCGGAAATTCTGAACATTATGAATATGCTGCATTTTTTCTCTTTATAAAATAGAACTACACATGCTATTCAGTGGTAATAAGTTAGGAAAGGAAAGACGAAAAAATTTATTGAAGGATAAGTAATGCATATTTATGGACAAATATGGCATATGAAGAAAATGAGGTTGTCAAAGTGATATATCAACATAGCTGCTGATGAAGTCTAAGGCCCCAAATTTCATGATAATGAACCATATAGCATGTAAACACATGAACAATTTTCTTCTTAAATATAGCATAAAGTATAATTATTTTCTCTAAGATTTGCATCATAAATAAGCTAAGCCAAGCTTTTTCCTTCCGAGATAAGCTACTGAAAAGCTTCAACGAATGAATTATACCTACCGTTATCGCTATGTCTGCTCATTATATGGCCAAATTTTTCTAGACTGCAAAAACTCATCATCCGAGTTCTTATTCCGAGTAGTGAGTATATAAATCAGTAGTTAAAAGAAAAGCTGTCAAAAGCAAACCACTTCAAATAGGACGTCTACTTTTGCTTCCTCAATTATTATCCATTTCGTTTTTCTTCTGGAGAATTCCTAAAACATTCCTATCATCGACAGCATCATCAATATGAGTGGTATGTTGTAAAATCATTTTGATTAGTTTTTTCTTTTATGTATAATGAACTTCTTTCGTGATATACCGCTCAGTTCTATCATTCTCAACAATTTGAATCCAGGTAATGGAATTTTCTGTTTGCTTCTGTGATTATCACACGTTCTTTTACCTTTTTTCTTTTATTGAATTACCAGGTTGAAATTAAAATATCTGAATTAGTAGTTTTAATTTAAAATAGCTGTCTATTAACTATCATATTTTTTGCTTTTTTCATTGTTTTAATCCTATTCTTTAAACATTTTTCAAATTATTTTAAACAAAATTAAGAGTTTTGATTGAATTAATGAACAGTGTGCTTCTGTCATTACATTAACATTCGTTATCATAATGACCACTTGAAGTGAATTTTGTTAAGAAACTGAATCAGTGGAGAGTTAAAATGAGAAATCGAATCAATGAGTGATCAAGAAAATGAATTGTAACATTTCCTATTATTTGATTAGTATGACATTTTTGATTCCTCCATATCTTTTAGCATTACCAATCAAATAAATTAAAAATTTAAATCCTAAGCTTTTTTTAGAGGGATGAAAGTTGATTGTTTTGTTATGGAGTAAGTAATAAAGTTCCCAGGACTGGAATTATGGTGTATGTTCGGGCATGCCTGGCATTGTTATAAATTATATGGGAAACTTTGTCTTTTTTAAACCATTAGATTAATTCAAAAAGTTCTTTAAATTTCAGTTCTGTTCCAAGAAATCAAATCACGTCAGGCAGAGTTCATGAAGGCATTCAATTCAGGCGACGCAGCTGGTGCTGCTGCATTGTACGATCCGGAAGGTTATTTCATGCCTAATGGCATTGATCCGGTTAAGGGACGAGCAGGTATATTCGTTCACCAATAGGAAAGAGTTGAATTTCAAATGTCTAAAAATTGGAAATGTCTGAGAAAGCATTTCGATTAGCTCGGCAAATTCTACATCAATAAAGTAAATAATTAACCACAAATTTAATTCGGCCTGTTGGGTGATTATTTCTACTTTCACAAAAAACCCGAAATGAAGCTTAGAGAACTTTTCGGCAAATGGGCCTTTCAAATATCTTTTGAAGAACTGATAAATGTTGCTAATATCGGCGAAATCTCTATGATCAAGTTTTTTTTAAATCATATCCTTTCTATAATTCAGGAATTGAGTCGTACTATAAGCAGGATATGTCAGAAGGTGTTAAAAGTTGCCAGGTAAATTTTTATCACATTTATATACTTCGAAAAGTTTTATGAATTTTCCAAACTGAGATCAATCGTATTTTATTTTAAGCATATACGAAATTTCGGAAAAAAAATATGCGGAATTTCAGAAAAAACTTTGAATTTGACAATCTGAAATAATTTTTATTTGTCTCCAAAAATATAATATAAAAAGCATACATCAATATCAAATCCTAAAAAAGTTGACTGAATTCGAAACCTATAACTTTTCAGTATTACTCTATTTTCAGATAATAACAGAAGAAGTAAATGGTGGTGATGATTGGGCATTTGAACGTGGCAGTTATCATCTAAATGGTACACGTGGACCAGAATCGGGTGCTTACTTGCAAATTTGGAAAAAAGTGAACGGAAAATGGCTTATTCATAATGACTGCTTCAATGTCATTAAACCAGCAAAGAAGTAATTATAAGCGTGATCAATTCAAATAAATGATATTGAATATTGTAATTCTCTCTTTAGCTAACACATAATTTCTTTTTTCACTTTAACGAATTTATAAAATCTTGAATGAATTTATAAAATTTGAATGAATTTATAAAAAAAAAGCAATGTTACCGTGAGGTACTTCATAATATCATCATCAATTACAGTAAACATTTCCTTTGATCAATGAATAAAATTACTCGCTTTCATCTATTATACACTGACCGCATACTGACTTTTCTGATCTCTTATCATATATTTTGTGATCTGTGGTAATAAAAAGAATTCTGAATCGAAGATCAGTGACTTTTCTAATCTCTTATCACACATCTTATCACATAACCATTTTGAATAGATCGAAATTAATTACGTTATTTCAACATTAAAACATTTCTTTGAGAATTAATCAATTCAGAAAATTGTTTTTAAATGCCAATAGTTTAAAATTTTTGACCTAATTCATTTCACCTTCAATGGTCAGAACATGAATTTTCAACTGTCATAATGCAGGCTTAAAAAAAAGAAGCAAAGTCAGTTTGGAAAATTCTATAAAATTTTTTCGTGCTAATACAAAATAAAATAATCCATCCTCATTCGAGCAAAGATTTGCCTGATATGTTTATTACAAATGCAGGTCACAAACAATTTTAATCTAATTAAATTATTGATAAACGATTTCTTGTATTATTATCAGTTGCATATCTATTGTTTCCTAATTATATCTTTTTCCAAATTTGCCATATTTTTTATCAAATACAATCGATAACACATTCATTAACTTTTCAGTATCTGTTGTATTTATATTATAACATTATGACTATAATATTCAGATTATTGCGTAATACAGTAATCTTGTTAACTTGAAGAGAGAGGGAGAGAGAGAAAAAAAGAAAGACCGCTAAGTTTCCTGAAATAACGGTATTTTTCCCTTATTTTTCTGTCTAAATCACTTTTAGTTGATAAATATACATCTATTTATTATTCTAAAAGAGTTTTATTTATCTCTTATTTTAATCTGAAGTGCCAAAATCACGGATCTATTTTTTAAGTAAAAATGTATTTGTGTATTAATTTGCAAGATTAGACATTAATGAAATGAAAACGCAAAATCGATGTAACCCTCACGATTATTTTATGATTATTACAAACAATAAAAACATACATACCAAATTTGTCACCCGAGAATTACCTGAATATGCCTGAAAAAAAAAGCATAAATTATCTCTTTGAAAATTCTCAAATGCAATAATGCATAAGCTTTCTCTTTTGGAACTCTTAAATATTAATGAAGTATAAGCTATTTTTTTTTAGAATTCTTAAATATTAAAGAAGTATAAGTTATCGACTTTGGAATTTTTGAATATTAAAGAAGCATAAGTTGTCACTTCTAGAATTCCTGAATGGTAAAGGAAAAATCCATTCTACAAAGTTCAAATTACAGAGAAGATTTGCAATCTAAACTATTTCCCTAAAAATTCCACTTCATATCATCAGAATAATTATTAAAATGATAGAGTGCTACATTTCCAACAAACATATCAGGCAAACATTAAACATTTGATAAGCTATCATATTAGATTTGATGGAAAAAATTTTGCAGAAATCGAAAAATGCATTATTAACTGATAATATCACTTTCTTATTATTTCCAGATTTTTCAGTGCCATAAAATATTTTCTTTGTTTTTGTTCACATTATTTACCCTAAAGCATTCTTTTTATTGTAAACTACTATTATTGATTGTCCAGTAATTAGAAGGAAAGATAATTAGGCTAGTTCGGTCACTAAATTAGTCTAATCATATCTTTTCAGACTTAAAAAAACACTAATCCATTAAAAATGAAATAACATATAATATTTGCTGCATCGTTTCAAAATAAAAAAATTTTTTTTTTTGTTTAACTAGGAAAAGAAATAAATTGTAACATTAATTTTGAAGATTACGAGGATGGAAAGCTTTTTCAATCAGAAAAAAAGGAACGCATGGCAGTTATTTTGATAAAGCATGGGAAATATTTTTATTTCCATTCACTACTGCTAATTCAAATTTCCTGTTTAAAAATTTATTATTACAAAAAAGTAATTTATATGTTAGAGTTATTCTATTGACAAAAAAAAAACAGAGTTTTGGAAAGAGTACAATGATGATAAACGAATGATCAATCATCAATTTTTAAGACAAAATATTTTATTCAATCTATCTCTGCTGGAAAAATCAATAGATCGATATCAAATGAACAGATTGTAAAGCAATTTTTTTTAGTAATTTTCTAACATTATCGATATTTCAAAATTTGAAAAGTTGTTATACATAAATGATAGAAATGACTGATCGAAACTGGAAATAAATAAATTTAATCATCATAGATCTGAAATGCCTGAAATACTATCTGTAAATTAAAAAAGATGGATTAGTAGTGTGATAAGAGAATCTTAATTTTGTTGCAATGAAAGTTAAAGTTGGGATTAATTGGAAAAAAGAATGTTATGATGTAATGATTTTTTATTGAATCAAAATTTTTTGATTGGAAAAAAGTAAATGAATAAAATCAATGATATCAAATTAAAAGCATTCAAATTCATAATTTCGATCATTACCCTATACAAGAATTATTTTGTTTCGTCCCAAATTAGCTAATATCAATTTTTGCTTAAATTAATGTTAAATTTTGATTCAATAAAAAATCACTACATCATAACATTCTTTTTTCCAATTAATCCCAACTCTAACTTTCATTACAACAAAATTAAGATTCTCTTATCACACTACTAATCCATCTATAAATATTACACTTTAAATGCAGTGATGACGAATCCTTTGATTAGATTTTTTTTTCTCGCAAATTCCATAATGAAGCATTATCGAATTTCATTTCTTCTTTTCTCTGAAAGATTAACTCTCAAAGAAAAGAGGAAATGAAATATATACTACGTGCAAACACGTAGTATATATTTCGATAATACTACGTGCAAACAAGCAGATTACTTAGCAGAAAGCGATAGCAGTTGTCTATCATTTAGCATATTAATTCAATGCAAAAAAATTATTGCATTCATATTATCGTCAGAAAAACTTCCATACTGATTCACATCTGACTTACATAAAACTTTCGTGTTACATTTGATTCTCATAAAACTTTCATGTTATATCTGATTCTCATAAAACTTTTATGGTTTATATTTGATCCTCATAAAACTTTCTTATTACATTTGATTTTCATAATACTGATAATTGTTTTCGCTCTAAGAAAAATACATTCTATTCATCTTCCTTTTCCGTCTACGTATATTTATCAGATTTGAATTAATCCAATTTTTGCTATAATAAAGAGAGGAATAATTGCTTTATAATATTTGAAAGAAATGGAATAATCTGATTCGAAGAAAATATTATCCAAAAGTAAAATGACTAAAAGATGGCATGGCATGGCATACTCCTAAAAATACTATAATTTACAATTTATCTGATGTAGTGATTTTTTATTTTAATGTTTGTTATATCTGAAAACAATAATTCATTTGTTATTGAATCATTATTTTAAATAACAATTCATATAATCGGTAATCAAGTAATGCTTTGACAGTTGATAAAAATTTATATTTTTTGGTAAACTTTCTTTAAAAAATAGTAAATGAAAAGAGATAAAAACGAAGTAAAACATGAAATAAAAGTTCATTTCAACTGATTTCAACTGCGCTCGAGTTATAATATAACATATTGCTTAGCATTCATTTGAATTTCCTCATACTTCGACTAATTAGGTCAACACTTATCGCAATTCAAAAATTAAACTGAATTGATTAGTGTCCTTCTTTTATTATTTGCTATTTTTTAAAGTAAGTTTATCAAAAAATATAAATTTTTTTTTATTTCTAACCAGTCATGAGCGGAAAATTTTACGCTCATTAATTTGTTTTTAGTCAAAAAAAATATTAGTATGAAAATATAAATTTATATTTAAAGCAAACGGTGTAATATATCTTTTTACAAAACATATCTACACGAATTTCGTCCTTGTGAAGAAAAAAAGGAAAGGAGAAATTCCCAAACAATGAACTTTTTCGGATTTAAATGTTTGAAATTTTACATATTTGATTATATTTTTCAAAAATTGATTAAAATATAATGCAACATAAAGCGCGCAATTTTGTCCTCACCGCTATATTTTAAGTTTCAATTTAAAACAGATGTAATAAGTACACGAATTCCTACTACAACTTTAATCAATCAGAAATTATTTTAAATTTTTTCATGTGGCCATATTTTGTTGAAAATTTTCACGGAAAATTAGATTAAAAATAAAATGACAATAATTAATCCTTGTCGAATTTATATATTATTTTGAGCTGTTGATCATTTCCGACACTTTTTTATTAATTGTAACGTATTTCCCGTTTGATGAACTTTATAAATTCAAAAAAAACTTAAAGCTATCACTTTTATTTTATAAAAAAATTTTGCTTAAATAGTCTTGACAATAATTTGAAGTCTTGACAATAATTTTTCTCAATAACTGTAAAAAAATAAGTACATAAGTACATAATAATATAATAACAATAATAATAAAATAAATAGTCTTGACAATAATTTATTCTTAAATAGTCTTGACAATTGTATTTCATTCTCATTACTTTTTGAAAATATCTCAGCAAATATGCAAAATTTTAAACATTTAAAGACTTTAATTTTGAAATTACTTTCTCAAATAACAACACTAAATTGTCCATGTTTCCCAATCTCTGTTATTTTACATTTTTTGTTTGATTATTGTTTCATACAAATTCAGGAAAGGCTTATTCAGATTTTTAAGATATTATTTGCAAGAAAAATTTATATCTTGAACAGATGATTTAGTTTCTTCATTGCATTAAAGTGCAAATGAAATATTTCATTCACAATTAAACATTTTTCCAATTCAATAAAAAAATTTTCTTAAATACAATGATTTACTTTTACTTTTTCTAAATGCTTTTCTATATTGTGAAATTTTGTTATTTCCTTTTAGTCATTAAAGTAATAGAAATATTAGGATTGATACAAAAGATTTAAATTGTAGGAATTTATTTTTGTTTACAAAATTAACGAGATTTGAAGAGATGGAAAAAGGAATAACTTTTATTTATAATTGTTAGATTTAGTTGATTTTATTGCTGCATTTCTATATATATGATGTAATAAAAGTAAGATAAAGATGTTCCTATAGTTTTGAAAAAGCGAAGAACAAAAAATCTCTCGTTCTTTAAACGTTTTTGAAAATCTTTTTTTTTTTTTGAATTTAGTCTTTCCCTTTTGTTTTACCCTTTTTATTATTTACAATTATTTTTATGCCTTTCAATGAGTAAACGAATAATTTTTCAAAGCGATGATATCGGTTAAACTTTCCTTTTAAAATATTCATTGTTCATTTCGCAAATAATCCCAATTATCAAATGTTTTGTGCTAATTAGAAATTTTAATCATTTAAAACAACTAATGAGAATAAAGAAAAACATCGGAGAAATGAAAACGAAGACAGCTGACGATTCTTGAACAAATCATTTCAATCTTTACGTCGTTACACGCAGGGCATACAATATATTTTGTACGCTAATTTCTTAAAATTTTTCGATACATACCTATCATCCCAGAATTTCCCAATTTTCTGCTTATTAAATGCTGTATTGAATAGCATGATGAAATTTGAAACAATCTTAGCTTTTTAAATCAACTGCCAACATTTTGTTACCAATGAATTTACTTATATATTGAAATTTGAAAAATTGATACAATGGTATTTGTTTACGATTTTCAGGAGAGTAAAAGATTATAATACTAAATACTTTTTTATTATAATTAAAAAATTTAATTTCATAAATGACAATTTGAAAATTGTATAAAGAGTTTATGAGAATTCATTTATAGTTGTTACATTTGGAGTTATTCACCGACCAAATAATTGTAACATACAATAAGGCTTGTAACATACAATTAATCTTCCACTCAACAAACGTATTTTCATTAGGTTTTTTTAAAGTAGTACTAAAATTGCAAATATGATTATCAACTATTTTGATTATATTCAACTTCACTCTCGTTCTCATCTCCCTTTCCTTCCGCATATTGCAAATCGTTCCGCAGTCCGGAATACAATTCTTCTTTTAGAAAACATATTCATTATAATTATATATATATATAAAGCACCAAGCAAACTTTAATTTACACTTTCAAATATATCGGTGATCTTCAATTTAGCAGTAGTCATATCGCTAATCCCCCGGAATCTCGAAAGGTTGAGTGGACAGGCAGCAATCAAAAGGATTCTGTGAAAATTTCGAGCATTTCAGATTTTTGCCGCGATATTGACGCACTAGCTAATGCGCTTTTTTCAATAATTTTTTTTACTTTTCTTCTTGCTAAAACGACCATTTTAAATTTAATTATTTATTGAATTATCAAAGATTGTTAATCGAGCATACTTCTATGAATATGAATTATATTATTGAGATTTAAGTAGAATCGGTCTTCTGATCAAGAATCATTTCATATTCTTCATTTAAATTCTCAAACCATTTAATACATTTATAAATGATATTTTTGTTTTGCTAACTCCTCTTTAATTATCTTTCTTAATTAAAAAATTTTTAGTGTAAGAAATTACAAGCAATGTGTAACGTTAGAATTGAAAGATTCCACGATTATATCGCAAATTTTTAGAGAATACAAGACGCTACTTAATATGCAATTTTAATGATTGAGAAATGAACCGCATTAATTGATCGAATGATCGAATAAATTGCCAATTTTTAAAATCTATTTTAAGATAAAACAATTTTTAAATTTTTGGCAATAACAGTAAACAGTTCGAAGAGATCATTTTTCCGGATGAATTGTGCAACCAGGATTTTTGTATAAAATGCCTGTTAATGGTAATTTCGATATTAGCAATGAAATTCCATGTTCTGATATCAAAGAATACTTTTGGATGAACCATTCCGATCTTACTTCATTACCATCAACAATGATCATTTTTCTCACCATTTATGGTCTTATTGTTAAGTTAGCCATTTTTTTTTTAAATTTAAAACATTTCAATATATTTCAACTTTAACTTCTATTTCTAAATCATAAAATTCTTGCAAATGTTTTAGAATAGCTTTCGGCAACTTTCATGTAGTTATTAGGAAATTTTAACAGGGACTTTATTATTCTTATCTTAATCTATAATTTGTCAGTTTAATTAACATATTAATCTATAATTTGTCGCTTTAATACAAATGAGAAAAGTGCTTTGCTAAAAAGAATGCTATGAAAGTGAAAACGAAATGCTCATATTCTTTTATAAATTCATTAATATTATATTTTATCTTAGTTACTTTATTGTATAAACCATTTAAATTACTTGGATGACAATTTTAAATTATCTAGATTTTAGATGAATAAATAGATTTATAGTTGTATCAGCTAACAAATAAGTTAGATATCCATGATTAAAACTTTTATTATAAATTGAACATAAATAATATTATGAGTTAAGCATAGTTTATTATTATAAGCTAAAAATAATTACCATTATAGGTTGAATAAAATTTTCAAAAATAGACAAATTGAAGGACAAAATTTTTCTTCTCGGATCATTACTATTAATAAAATCATGGAAAACTTTATTAACAATAATTGTGTTTCATAAATTAATTCATTTTCCTCACTCCATCCATTTCATTTTTCTTTTTTAGCGCATAAATTCATAACATTCAGACTTGGTGTTCTTGGCAATACGTTAGTGATATTATCAGTGATACGACATAAATCATTACAGGCAGTACGAAATCTGTTTATTGTCAACTTATCAGTGACAGATATTGTTATTTCAATTGTTTCGGGAACAATAACACCCATTACAGCCTTTAATAAAGTATGGATTTCTTGGTGAATTGCTGTGCTACTTTGTATCTTTTACTCAAGTGAGTTTCTATTTCCTACATTCACTCATCTGTTCATATCATGAATTTAAAATTTTTTTGTGGTGACATTTAAACTATGGTAAGTAGTGATATGCGATTTAGTTTTAAGGTTTGTTTTTTGACAAATATTTCGAAATGTGATAAATTTCAATGATTTTAGGGTGCAAGCTTATGCTTTTCAACGCTTACTCTCATTGCTATAGCTATTGATCGTTATATTTTAATAATATTTCCTACAAAAAGGTAAGTAATTTTATGAAAATGAAAATGCAAATTCGAATTGGTTTTCTTGCCATTTAAGATACATTAATGCACACATTTGGTGTTTTCAATTTTTTTTTAAAAAAAATTTTTCTTTAAAAATTGAAATAAAATAAAACAAAATAAAAAACATTCATTTAAAATTGCACGGATGATATGCTCATAGAATTCTTCTGCTTAATTTAGTTTAATCAAATTACAAAATTAACTCATAAATTTTCTTCAGCATTATCTATTCTTCTGAGAAAATGAAGAAAATGAGAAAAAATAGTCAATAAAGTTAGTTAATCTAATTTAGATTTAAAGTAAAATTTGTTGCTTATTGTCATCATAACACCCTATACTATAAAACTTTACTTACAATTACAAATAGTACTGATAGTACTGATTATTTTTTGTATTAAAACATAACGAATAATTTTTCTTCATAACTGTATATATTATTCTACAGGGATTATGAACTTTGATTTGCCACTTAATATTTTTGATTGCAATCATCGAAAACTTTATTTATTTGCAATTTGGAAAATTGTAAAACCGAATTTTATGCATTTCCACTCTAATCTCTTTTCATCAATCGTCGAACATAAATTTAAGCGAATTCTTTGCTACCATAAATTCTCAATTGTAGAAATCATAATCTTAAATTAAATTATTAAAAGAAGACTAAATTATAATTAAATATGATCAAAATACATACAATTTGAATATTTGATTATATCAAATTTTGCGTTTAATTCGTATAATGCATTTGAAATTCTCAGAAACTACAAAAACGTTAACGGGAAAGAGCGTTCGGAATTGTTGAATTATTGACAGTTAATTAAGCTTGAAAGAATTATGCATAATTATCAAAATTTGTTCTTTCTTCATGTTTTCCATTCTTTTAACGATTAGGAAGGAGACGGTTGTTTTTCTCCGAGATTAAATGAATATATTGCGCAATCTTTCATTTATGCCATCATAAAAGCAGACTTCAAAGACTTTTTTTGATATGATTTATCAACATATTCGATTTAATAGAAGCCATTACATGTAGAGATATGATTTATCTTTATATTCGATTAAATAGAAGTCATATTATAGTTGCATCTGACCTATTTTTTTAATTCATACATTATCTGACTAGATCATTTTCATAGCTAAAAATTTTTCAATTTAAACTGCCATTAAAGATTAGATTATGAGGAGAAGATTTTTTTTTTTAATTTTATCAAAAACTATTGTCGGAAATACCAACTTGCCGGAATCTAAATTCAAATAAAAATTGCTGCTTCAAAATGAAAAAAAAAAACCAATGAAGGTGTATCAGAAAAAGAGATAGAGAAATAGAGATAGAGAGGGAGAGAGAATAATGAGAATGAGAAGGTCAACATTGAAATTCAAACCATGAATTTCTCAGGATTCGGAAAAGAAAAAAGCATAAAAGAAAGTTTTTAAATTTATAAAAACGAAATGATGTGAAAGGATGAAAGATATATGATTATGGAGAGAAGAAAATAGTTTGGCTGACCTTCATCTTTTTTGCTATTCCATTGAAAAATTTTATTAACAATTTTTAAAATGTTTGCAGGCCAATTCAAAATTTTGAGAAGCAATGCTATTAAAAAGAGAAGTCAAAATCCAACTTCAAATTTATTGAAAGTAAATTAGCAATGCTTGCACTTCAGACGCACTCCATAAATAAGTGCATTAAATTATTTGCCCCACCCTCATAATTTGTACTATTATTTAATTGTCCTTCCATGACTCCAACCTCTCTCTTCTACATCATAGAGTTTAATACTACAAATTTAATGAGCTTGAAAAATTTTATAACTTTTTACAACATTTCGTAGTTTAAATTGAAAAAAAAACACTTAATTAAATAATAAAATAGATTAAAATAATCGCTGTAAAAAAGTAGGAATTTGTTTTGAAATTTGGAAACTTTACTTATGGTAGATTCGAAAGCCTAAAATAATAAAGTTTTAAATTTTCAAACAATAGAAATTTCAAAAGTTTCAGGAACAACTGTATTTGTTTTTCAATTTGCTCCATCGCTAACTGTAATTTCTTTTTGCTATACAATGATTTCCCTGAAACTTACCAAAGTTAGTTTGATTTTCATTTCAATTAATGTATGAAAGTGATTTATAGTCAATTGCTAATCTTTAATCTTTCTCGTAATTGATAATTTTTGAGAATGACAGACTAAGCAAAAAGAGCCAAATTCTTTCACATTTCAAAAATTATCAGCAATCTTTAATCAGTATCATAAAACATTTTTTATTTTTTTTTCATAAAACCTTTCATCAGTAAGCATCCAAATTTCTTGTAAAAAACATATAGCGTTTTCAAAATTACAAATTTATCCAGTTTTTGAACTAACGCTATCATATTTGATCTTTATGTAACTTAGATTTTATTCCAATCATTATATAACTTAGATTTTTATCTACATCGATTTTTTTTTTGGACAGCTGTTTTGGAATTTAGATACGTTTACTGAAGAAACAAACGAGAACATGTTCATTTTATCGAGAACAAACACTGAGGCGACGTTTGCATGTGAATCGTATGCTAATTTCAATGGTTCGAGTGTTTGCTTGTTGTTGGATGCCGACTGTTGTTTTCAACTTCCTCAAAGATTATCGTTGGTTGCCATATTTCGTCAATGAACAAGAATAATTGATCGCTATCATAACGTATTGCATTTCAATGAGGTATTTTTTTTTTGCTTTTTCAGTAACTTCCATATTATTAAATCATATATGACCTAATTTAGGGATCATATATGAAAGGGATTATTTAACTTTTAATTCATTTCTTCTTTTATAGCTCAACAATATGGAATCCTTGTTTGTATACATTAATGAATGATGAGTTCCGGCTAGCATTCCTTAGTTTGCTACAACCATTCTGGATTGTACCGAAAGAAAAGTTTGATATCAGATACAGGTGCAGGATGTATGCAATTAATGTCAACTGCACTTATAGAGAATGCTCAGGAGGTTGTTAATCAAAAATGAAAATAAATTTTAAAGTTGATCAAAAATGAAAATAAATTTTAAACAAAATTTTGTGCAATAAATAATAGCAAGTGTTATTGGCAATTGTAACCCTGTAGTTAATATTTTTTTTTTTATAGCAAAATTTACTGAACAAATAAAACGTAAGAGCAATTTTTTTAGTCATCAAATGTAAGACTAAATTTAAAAATCAAATAAGATTACTTCTAAATTTAAAGGATAAATATATTTTTGGAAAATACACTTATCAATTTGCATTGCGGTTTCAATAAAAGCATGCCTATTTGTTAAATTGATATGCAGTTGATTGTAGAAATGTTTTGTTAATTGTTTGATTAAATTTTTTTTATATTAAGTATTGAATTACGCAAATTTTTATCATATAGTCCATTTTCAGGTGATGTTGCGATCTATTCCGGGAGTCAAACCAACTTGATTAGTTCTCAGAATTGCGATAAAAGTTTAGATGATGTGATAGAATTTCAGAAAATTCACTGTTCGCTTCTTCATTTGATAGAAAATTATTGAAAGAATTTTTTGGAAGAAAACTGGAAAATACAAAAATGTGAATGAAATTATAAAAATACCTGATTAATAGCTAGTTTCTGATATGTTTGTTTCAAAAAGAACTGAAATAAAATACACAAAAATTTCTGTGAGAATCCAATTAACATCTAAAATTCCAAAAGTTTGTATAAAATGACTCAAATTTTGACATAAAAAATATTTTTACTTATTAATGCCAGAAGAAAAAACTCCAAATTGATAGTTTCTTTTCCGATATACTCACTTAAATTTTAACTTTTTTACCCCGCTTAAGTTTTACTTATATTAAATGCATTCAAGCATTCTTGCAGCTAATAAATGATAGATTGATTTCTGTGCTGAGAAAACTATTCAAAATGCTAAATGAAATCAGATTTTCGTAAAAATTTCACTTCATATATCATAAAAACATAATTGATTTTTTCCCAGTAGTACTAAAAAATAGGCAAGAAAGTAAAAAAAAAAAAAGGCATAGCTATTAAGAAATAACAAGAGCAGTGAAATACCAGTAATGAAAGTAATTATGTTTATAGTAATAAAAGTAACAGCAGTTCAAATTCCAAAAGAAACAAAAACGATTACATATATTTATAAATAATAATTCAAAAATTCGACTCTTGCTAAGTTTGACCCGAGATAGGATACAATTTTTTTTCTTATCATCCATGAGTCATCACTAAAGCTGAAGAAAGTCGAAGAGATTTTTTTCAAATTGTCAACAAAATGGAAAAGTTGGCTTGAACAGGACAGATTGTATTAATGCAAAATAAAACAACATCAATAATTAACAGTAAAGTAAAGGAAATAATGGTGGCTGTTTATTGGAATGTATGCAGTATGCAGAAACAGTACTGGTAGTGCATGAATGAGGCGATCAGAAAGGACAAAGGTATATTACAAAAGTTGTGTAATTTCCATCAAATTATGCTATTGAAAAGGAAAAAAAAAGTCGATTGATTAAATTAGAAAAGGCAGAAAAGTTGAAATAAAAAAAGAGCAAAAAATGGTTCCTAAATATTTCGATGTATACAATTATATATTAGCTATTTTTATAGCTAAATAAAATTATGATCACTTTTTTTTTGCACATATTATTGTATATTTTTCATTTCTTGTTTGAAATTTAGTCAAATTAAATTTGTTTTTTTTTTCTTAGAATTATAATGTATCGTTTTTTTTATTTTTGCAAAGATAAACAAAATTTGTGGGGATTAGAGCATTGATATCAAAACAATATAAGGTATTAATAAAGGCAAAAAAAAAAAAAGAGGAACAGGAAAGAGAAACAATAAAATTCCACGAACTGGAATGATACTGAATGAGATATTCGAAGAAAAAAAAGGAAATAAATTTTACAAAAAAAAAGAAAATGCTGAAATGAAATGCTAGTGGCCTGAATGAATTTGCTTGACAAAGCCTTTAACGGCCCGTACTTGAACTGATTTTGAAGTAGAATTGAATGCAATACAAATTGAATAATAAAAATTTTAATTGGAACAAAATTGGATGAAGTAAGATGATAAGCTGGAATGAGTTGGATTAAATTGCTGCTTCTTCTAATACTTTGTGGATTTGCATTGATCGTATCCACAGCGGCTCCCTGCTAATTTACTGCGGAATTGCCGCACCCGAGTTTCCTGAAGAGATCAGTTGTGCGCACTTTGTCAGGATTGATAAAGAGAGCGGTAAGTGTTCTTTTGGATAGGTTTATGCATATTTTTGTAGGAATTTGAGCAAGGTGATGAAAAAAAATGATGGAAGTAATGAGAAAAAAAATAGTTTAAAAATTAGTACCTAAAATTTTTGATTTAAAAATTTTTTACGTTTTAAAATTTAAAAATGATATCTTTAGCTCTGATATTTCAAATGTTAGAAAATGATAATTTTAAGGGAGCAACTGTGGAATGATAAGATGAGACAAGTGCGCACATTTGATTCGGTTTTTAACTATGCATATTGTTGTTGTTGTGGTGGTGGTATTGATGATGGTTGTTGTTGTGAAACTAAATGATGCTCTTTACGTGTTAGCATCTCTTTCAGTAAATTTTCTTCCATTCCAACTGTCGAATATTTACTGAGTAAGTGAGCCGCTTGGCGTGCAAGAAGCCTGAAATTTTTTGGAAAATTTGAATTGACAATAACATTTATCGCATGATTATTTATGCGATTTTACTAAATTTTAATTCAAAAAATCTATTCAAACTTTAACATTTAGATAGGAAATACTTTTACTAAACTATTTAGTAATAGTATCATAGAAATCAAATTTTAGTGGTTTTGAAAGGATATTTATCATCTTAATGTTGTTAATAAGGATTGATTTTTTTGAAATAATTTTAAGTATTTTAGGTAAGATAAAAGAAATTAAATTAAGCATTTGGTGATTTATAAACTGATTTGAGTGTGAGAATTTATTATTAAATTACAAGATCATAGAAATGTTATATGTAAATGAGAAATCATCGTCCCTTATAGTAAGTGAAAGAAGAACAGCAAAACGGTAGTAGTGGAGTTCTCGAGCTTTTCAATCACTTCCACAATATCCTAGGACTCACAAAGTGAGAAGAGGATAATTGCCGGTTTTGGTGTGTGTCAAAAATAATCGGTACCGCGCTACTAATTAGAAAGGTCAAAGGACGATACAGCTCAACTCGCTCAAGTAGAGAGTAGTACTCGAATGTCACAAAAATTCAAGTACTTCTAGCACTACATATTGCTTTCTTCTGATACCGTAATGAGTACGTTATTTTCAAGAGCATGAAAATAATCCTTTTTCACAATCGTTACAATAAGTATTGATGGAATGAAAAAGAAAAAGCAAAAAAAAAAAAATATTTATTGCAAAATTTACTTCTTCATAACTTAACGATAATTCTTCCATAATTTACAAAAATTATTTCATTTAAAGTTAATTAAAAGAAAAGAATGCTATATTTGCATTCTATTCATTTTAAAAATATCATCCATGATTATTTTAATTCCTATCTTATTTCATTTTTTTAAAAATTTTTTTAAATATCTTCAGTGTATTCATCGATAACTTACTTTAGTTCCTCATAAACAACATATAACGGATGATCGGTAGCAGTTGGTACAGAACGATATGCTGCCCATGCTGCGAGTATCGATGCATGAACTTGAGCTATCAGAGCGCAATTGTTTATTGCACTTCGTTCGCCTACAATTTGCATATCTTTCTGTAATTCAATCCTACAACCGTAATGAGACGTTCATTTATACTATGCAAATGCAACATATATTCGCACAGAAAAAGCTGTAAAATTTACTGCATAACAATGACCGAAATAGAAAAGATGGTCATTATTTATATGAGCAATCTCGAATAGCTAGCAAATTGAATTATTCATTATTCTGGAATGAAGAATTTAGGTCAAAGTATACAACTACTCTTAGTTTCCATGACCTTAGATTATAACTAATCTTTCAAATGTCAAGGTGACTAAAATTCAGCATATCACTGAGGTGTTGAAAATGAGATATCATTGGTAATCAATCTTATCTACCATATATCCCGTAAATATGTATACAGTAGTGTTTGTTTGATAACCAAAAATGTATACGATAACGTTCGTTTGATAATCTTAGCTGAAATTTCTATTTGAAAATAAATGAGATTGTTCCATCGTTGATAAATGATCAAAAATAAACCTCGATCTTCAAACAGTGTTAACACTTTAAATGCCGCATAATCAAAGCGATCGAAATTCAACGATTGTAATTTGTTGCATAATTCATTGAACTTTGGTACTAATGTATCAAAACCCATTAAGCAAATGGTAGATACGGGTAATCTATAAAAATTTGTTCCAACAGTTGCATAATTTTCATTTTGATTCTCATTTTACTTTCAGTTCCGAAAATGAGTTTTACAATAAAATTGAAATACATCCAATTCAAAAAGATTTAACAAGATTTTTTCCAACTTTTTCAAATATTATCATCAAGATTGGTTATGTGTTCAACTTATACACCTGATGTATATATTAGCGCTTGCTGTATTAAAATGAAAACTAACGGACTGTTGCCAAATTGTATAGAAATTGGTAAATGATTGTGAAGGATATGAAATGTGAAATCAAGAACATGAATTGGTGCCCAGGACGTATAAATTAATGCTATTTGATCATCGACCTAAAAGAAAAAGGCTCATTTTAAAAAGCGAATTTAAATTGCCATATTGCTGTGAACTAAAAATGGAATAAACAGCTTGATTTGAATTTCTTTATAAGAGTGAGTGAATAATTATTAACATTAAATTTTTATTGTTTTTGTAGGAATGAAATTTCGAACTAATATATTTTTGAAACAGCATTAGAGGAATATTACTGCAGGATAATTCGAAATGTTCAGAAAACTCTAAGAGAGCGTAATTAAGAAGGTAAAAAATTTTTCGAATATCATAAAATTCTGCTGGGAAATGATTTTTTTTTTTTAATATGGCTTGCCATAGCAATTTGATCCCAAACAAAATTTCGTTTTCAAGGACTACGATAGAAAATAAAATGAAAAAAAAAATGTGTTAGCTTCAAACATATGTGGAAAATTTCATGAGTAATTCGGTTTTTTTGTTGTTTTTAAATTCAAATTTTGTGTACGTTTTTTGTATACGACATAGAGAGAATATTACTCGGAAAAATCACTTTTCACTTTTTTTTTCTATTAACGCGCTAATTTTGACTTTCAATTATAATGCTCAGATCAATTGAATCGTATCAGAAAGCAATAAAATTCATATAATATAGAATCGTAATATAACATATAATTATATTAGAATAAGGAAGAAAGATATCATTTGACCTCGGAGTCTAATTTTGATATTTTTTTTTTTAAATAAGCAATTATTTCACAATAATTGTGTTTATACATAAAAGCTTATATGATTATTGACAGATGATGAATTATAGAAATGTGTGAAATAATTAATTGTGAAAAACTTTCTTAAAATTTCGATTTTTGTTGAATTTTGTTTTCAAAATGATTTTTTTTTCTTCTTTTCTTTGATAAAACTATAATTTGAATAAACTTGCCGGCAATTGCTCGAAATATGGTGCATTTTTAGCCCATGTAACAATTGAATTGAGGCTTTCTTCGATAACCGACTTACAGAATTGGAATGCATCTCGGGTTTTGTCACCTTTACCTAATAAATGTATGAGGAAATTTGGATCCAACAGAGATTCTGTACAACTGCACAAAAGCGCCGTTTGTTTTGGGGCGTAAAAGATACTGTCAATGGTTTTCTCGGTTGGTAACGGACAGATGGGTAGCAGTGGTGAGGAACGATCTGCCGTAGTACCAGCTGTCGGAGCTGCTGATGCTACCGCTACCGGTGCCATTGCCGTCATTGCTGTATAGGATGAAGTTGGTGGACAGAATGGTGAATAATCGGTAGGAAGTGAGGGTTGCGAAAAACCTAAAAATTTTTTAAAGTAAAATTTAAAGTTAAATACAGTATTATTTTAAAAAAATCAAACACAGATTACAAAAATTTTCATTCATTCTTGAATTTCATATTTAAAAATTTTTATACAAGAAATTATAACAAATTCGTGATAACAATTATACTTGGGAAGTTAAATCAAAGCCTTTTCTTAAATTACAATGATATGAGCGGTAAATTATTCGAAACTAAATTTATTAGAAGTCTGATAGTGACATATACTTACTAGCTTCAGTATAGCCATCAAACGGTTCTGGCTTAACACAGGAATAGATAGGAAACGATGAGCTACGCAACAATGGATCATCGATTGATGACCCCAATAAAGCAGCCAAGTTATCACAATTTGGCAAATATGCACTCGGTCGTGGCACCACGTAATCTGTAAATATTTTAAAATAAACGATAAAATTTAAAAATTAAAAAAAAGAACTGTTATTTTTAAAAAAACAAGTAGATGAAGTCGTCAAAATCTTTTCAAAAAAGTTTAATATCAAAAATAGCGTTTGAATTATTTTAAATTACAAGTAATTTTACCAAGCTTTAATAGAATGAGATAGAAAAAAAATTGTTGATTTATGGAAATTGAAATTAAATGTAAAATGTTTCACTTAATTCATTACAAATGATATCTACTAATTAAAATGCATTTATCAAATTGATTTAATCATAAATATGTTAATTGATTTAATTGTATGTTTTATTACCATCATCTCAAGCTGTCTACAAAAAATTACATTATAGTTAATCCCAGCTAATATATGTAAAGCAATTGTTTGCTAATGATCGCGAAAAATTGATTTCAGGGAAAATTGGAGAAATCCATGAATGCTCAGGTGCTTACTTGTTGGGGGTTGCGTACTGCTTGAAAGTGTTGGTGATTGTAGCAATGCATCATAGTCATTTTTGAATTTTTGACTTCCACTTGCATCGAAATATTGTGCATGTACAGCAGCTGCTGCAGTTGCTGCTGCTGTTACTGCTAATCCAGTTGGTGTACTTCAAAAAAAAAAAAGAAAAACAGTAACAAAAATTTTCTGTAGAATGTACAAAATATTTGCTACAAAGTGTTTGGTACGATAAGGTATCAAAACCAAAAATAAATTATAAACTAAGTTATTTTATCAACCAAAAAATAAGTTATAAAAAGTATGAAAATATATTTAAAAAAAAAAAAAAGCAAACCTGCTAGAAACTTGTTGCTCGGTTGCATTCTGATTGAAAAAATTATGTGTTCCATTAGCTCGTAACGCTATGCGTTGCATGCGTTGTGCACGATCACGTTTATAATATGAACCAAATTTATTACGGCCACCACGCATACGATCTTCACGAACTGCTATAAATTTTCCTCTTTTGAAATAATTTAGATTTTCAAATGCGTTTTTTACAAATGTAAATATTTCTAATTTTTGTTTAATTTTTTAATATTTTCATTAAAAAAAATTACTCAATTCAATCGAAATTTATTTGAAAATTTTCTCTTCCATCATTTTATCATTCCATTCTTGCTTCATTCAAACTTTTAGCAAAATATCACACTGCATTTTTTAAGATATTATTTGCATTTCCTGTTATTTATTGTTTGTTACAATTAGCGCTACACGTTCTCTTTAGGGATGATATTTTATAAAGGTAAAATTACATGTCGAGAAGTATCATCACGTGCAGTTATTTGTCGCATAGAAAAATAGAAGAGCCGAAAAAGGACATCCTAAGGTCAACATCTATTGTTCTTTTAGGGATAGGTGAAAGAGAGGACAAGCTGAGCTTTGTTTTCATTCACTTTACAACTCTGTCCTCATTCTTTCATTCTCAGTAATGGTACCAGTAGTAATTGTAGCATTAATAATAATAGCTATACAAGCAGATCCCTTTAATTTATTCGATAAAACTCTTTTGTTGTTATCCGAATTTTCCCCTGACCACTTTCATTTGACCACTTCCACTGACCAACTTCTCTTTTATCAATTCATATGTATTTTCTACATGTGAATCGTATCTCCCACATAAATTACCCTCATCCCTTAGATCGGATCATACTATACTAGCACTCATTTCTCGCTTCAGTAATTAACGCATACATTTTACTGATCCTTTTTCTATGCTATTTTTATATTCCTTTTCTTCCAACTCTTTCCTCATTTTTAAAACTCTTTCGCCGCAATATCAATTTTCTCTTGACCACTTCCTCTGACCATCTTTCTTTCTTTTTATCATTTGTACATTTTTTTTCTTTTTTTTTGTGAAAGAAGAATTAGGTTTCTGCTAGTGCTATATGATGAATTTCCTGTAGTTTAACGGAACAATTAGCAGCAATTAAAAGGACATTTCTTGACCAATACATCTATTAAGGTTGAACTTCTTTTTTTTTGAGGAATAAATGATAAAAGGTGTTAATGTGTATTGGAGAGATGAGTGTAAATTAACTATATGGTTACTCATCAAAAATATATTAAAATATTAATGTTATGGTTTATTTTATATATAATCTTTTACTTAATTTTAAATCTATGTTATTTTTCCTTTCATCTTTTCAATCAATAATAAAAATTTTGAAAATTTAACTGAGTAAAATAATGCATCATATATAAACATATAGATTTAATAGATTTAGCATAGATTTAATTAAGTAAAAGCAGTTAATACAATAATAAAAAGGCAAAGTAAAGAAAATAGAAGAATATCTATTGTTTTCCCCTCAATCTTTCAATCGATAATGAAAATTTTTAGAACTGATTAAAAAAAAACATGTTTCTTCCAATTGTTCCTTGAAAAAAATCAGTGAATCAATCCTACAAGAGATATTTCTCTCAAAGAAAAAAGAGAAGAGAGAGAGAGAGAGAGGAAGAAAAAAGTCTCTGTCCCTAAATTAGCAGCTACGAAGAACATTGAGTGAGGAGAAAAGCGAAATAATTTCTATTTTTCTCCCATAAAAGAGGAAAAAAAAGAGTGAGAGAGAGAAAAGAGAAAGAATTGAACGAAACTGGCAATTTCTGTGAAAAAGAGGAAGGAAGGAAGAAAAAAAATGTTTAAAAAAAAACAGATGAAATTATTTTTTCCGGAAAAAAAACACTTTTTTTCTGGAAAAAATAGTACAATTACTATGGTTAAATAGCCCATTATTACTAACAGTTTGGATGCCACCATCGAAAAGCTATTATACGTTAGAAATTCATGAGTATTGGAATAGAGAAAAAAAAATGAAACAATAAAAAGAATCTCTTCAGAATATCTACAGTATAATTTGAATATTATTACAAAAAAAAGGAATTGTAATAAATAAATAAATCTACCGAATAATGAAGAGGACACGGTAAGTACATTGGTTGATGGATTATGCAAATTAAAAAGAAGTCTACGGAACGAAAAGATATGATTAATGGGAAACGGAAGTATTTTTATATTTCAATGAAATTTATATTATATTTTCTATTATAGAAATTACGCAGTGATCATTGTAGTATAAAATAGAATAAACTTATTGATAGCAAAAAAAAACTAATTATTTAACAAACATAATAGTAACTATAAGAAATATAAAAAATCTTGATTTGTTAATTAGGAATTGATTTTGTAAAAAAAATGCAATTTTTTTTCGATTTATTCAAAATTTTCAACAATTGAAATCTAAAATCTGATCATTCCAGCTTTAAATTAATGGTATTAAAGCGCTTTTCATGAGTTATATTCTGAACAAATAACATGTCGAAGGTATGTTATTTTGAAAAACAAATATGAAAAATATTTAATTATGGGTGGAAACAAACGTACATGCAATATGAATGCATAAAATTCAGGCAAATTCTTTTAATTATTACAATTTCGAGAGGGCTAAGTTTAATTAGATGTAAAAGAATTTTTGGTCTTGTTCTCGAAAAAGTGAATTGAATATGGCATTATCAACAGCCATATTTCAATAATCTTATGCAAATTTTCCACTAACGCATAATATCTGAAATAATTGATTAGTTCAAAAGTTTAAACATTTTTAAGTTTTAAACAAATTCTATCGTTTCTAAAATATTTAAAGATTTAAAAAACTGCAATCATCATTATCTGGATTTTGAAAATTTTAACTTTTAAACAATATACAATATATATACAGGATTAGACATAACTAACTAGTCTAATAATTAAATTTTCTTAAGTTATCGCTGAGTAAATGTACCAACTTATCACGCGGAAGTCAGTAAATAATTTTCGAAATTCTGAATTGTTGCTTTCATGAATTATGCAAACATTCAACATTTATTTACAGGTGAATTGATTTAATTTATGATCGGTTCAGTGTTACTTATACTAAATTTATTTATCAGTTTTAAATAAATATTTTTGATTTATTTATAAGACAAGAAGCATTTCATCTGATTTTTAAAGGCTAAATTCAAGCATTGATAGTATGAGTGAGATGGAATTGAAAATCTCATATCATATTTATTTAGTTTGTTGTAGCTGTAAAATCTTTTCATTTGTACTTCAATTTTTTTCTCCCTTTCGTTTTTTTTCCCTTTTAATTTTTATTGGTAGCTTTTGCAAAGAATGTTGGTGGGTGGAAACTATTTCAAACTTTTTAAAATCGATCATAGTGTCTGTGCATAGCGAGTAAAAAGTTAAATGTTGTATGGTGGGCTGTGGAGGAGTAACATTCATTCTATGGATTGCAAATTTTTTTTTTTTTTGAAACACTTTTTGTCAACCCTTCTCTTCCCGGTGTCCCCCATCCCTTCCCCGCCCCTGTATATTATTCAAACATTCTCATACTGAGGGAAAGAATACCTAAGCGCCCATCACCCCCTACCGTCAACAGCGACAATTTCATTTTCGAATATACATGTGTGTGCACAAAAAAACCGGTCATCATTATCCAGCCAACCTGCTAGTAACCATTTTCATTCTGTTGTTGTCAGCCATAAAAACCTTTCTGAAGGATTTGATATTGATTGAATCACTAACGCAAAATTTTGAATATTTTTGTTAATTTTAAATTAAAAATTAAAAAATTATAAACTGTAATGTCAATTTTCCTGATAAAATTTTATCAAAGAAATCGCAATCATTTTTTTTAAATCATTCAAGTAAAAAATTGAAATTCATCCTTTCCTTTTTTTTGTAAATAGCTTAGCTGAGATTTTTTAAAAAATCAACTTTTTATGAATGTAAAGTTATTTTATGTTATCATTTATTACAACCATTTAAAATTTTTAAAAATTAATAATAGCATATATTTGAATGAAATAAATTAACAGACAGTTCAATTCGAAACAGCGATTTCGGGTTCATTCAAAGAAAAGGCGCGCTTGCCCGCCAACCATCACAGCACTTTTTAATTTCACGTTCTTTGTGTTACGCCTAAACTTCCTCTCTTTTAAATATTTTCAGTTTCAAATGAGATTTTTGATTGCACTAGCTGACTGACCAATCAATCCATATCTTAAAATGCCGCCTTCCCAAAAACACGGATATAAGTGGAAAAGAAATTTTTATGATTGTATGATGAACGACAACAGTTTAGAGATGACATTGAAATGATTTGAACGAAAACGGTTTGAATGATGATTATGATGATGAAAGAGCATGTGATAATTGATTTGGTTTGAGAAACGATTTCAATAATACCTTATTGATAAGTAAAATAAATTTTGTAGCAGGAATTTTTTTCCTTTCAAAAATAAAAATTAAAAAGAAATGCAGAAATATTAAATTAAGAGTGCATAATTAGTTAGATGGTAATAATTAAGAAGAGATTTGATGTCCCGATTTTTGCAGATGTTAAGAATGATCAAAAATTATGGAATTTCAACATTTAATATTATTCTCTTTAGTAAGAAATATATATGGCGATTATTTAATTCAATTTTATACACTTGCACAGAATATATTTTATCATTCTTTTTTTTGATTCAGCTTATAAATGAAATTATTTTGATTACATTTAATTCCATATATGCATAACTTCAATTATTTATGAGCTATATGATAGTATCAAAATTTTCTTAATTCATTCAAAGATAATGTGCGCAATGATATTTCCCACCATATTACAGTAATATAATTGGAATGTGTTGAACTGTGAAGTGTGTAAACAAAAAGTTGTTATATGCACATATCAACAAAATATAAACGATACGGTATATAATAGTTATTATGGCGATAAGCAAACATAAATTATTCATACCGCATAAACAGAAAAATATTTCGTGAATGCTTTGAAACTGTATTTTTGATATTCTATTGCTATTTCTTTTTGTTAAAAAAATGACAACAGCAATAATTATTACTGTCAAATTTGATTTCATTGCGAAATTAATTAAAGAGATGATGAATTTTTGAATATTAACTTAGGTAGTGCTTTTCAAACTATATTATAATGGACGCTTTGATTTTGCTGGACTAATTAAAGAAAGAAAAGAATTTAACTCTTAGAATTGAAAGGTAACGAGGAAATCAATAAAATTCTATAATATTAGATAAATTTTAGTGTTGAAAAATTCTTCATATATGTTATTACACTGTAAAATTTTTAAGCGAAGAAAATGAAAGGAAAGAAATTCCTCATTTTGGCTAACCTTCAACCTTCATCCCACGTTGTATGCATTTTTGGAATCGACAATGTGGACAACGTTTTCGACATGATTTATCCACTGCGCAATTCTGATCCGCTGAACATTGATATGACTGAAATTGGATTTTTTACAGTATAACTTTGAAAATCAAGCATTCAAAAATTTCTCGAGTGATAATGATAATATCTCATTTTACAGCAACGTAATAATTCACACAGAAGAATTTTGTAAATTGAAACATTAAATCATTTTGATGATTTTATCTCAATTAAATAATTGCTTTTCTGATTTTTACACTATTTCAAAAGTTTCTATCTAGAAGCACAAAGATTGAAACAAAATCCCTTCTACAGTAAAAGAATAAAATTGAAAATGATTTACGATTCGAAAGGAATATGTAAAAATTTTGCGCAAATTCTTATCTATAAAATTTTTTAACTCTATTATTAAATTGAAGAAAATAAATGAAAATAAACCTTTTTGTTTTGTACTGTTCGCTTAAAGAAACCCTGAAAATGGAATATTTTATTTTTAAAAAACATAACATGCAAAAATTTTGATTTTAGATGCAAAATATTTGGAATTATTAAAATATTTGTCCCTCTTTGTTTTCTGCAAAATTTGCTGAAGAAAAGACAGCAAAATGAACGATTCTGAAAATTGAAATTGCATTTTTTATAGAAAAAGATTGTTTGTAGATTTATTTGGAACAAATTGATAGATTGATGACAATTTACGGGATTCTCTTGCAAAGAAATACCACTCACAACAGAGTGATTTTTATAATCCGGAAAAAAACAGTAAGAAGAAGCAAAGATTTGAAAGTCAGTTTGATTCTGATTTAGCCAAATTTGAATGTTTCAATTAAAGTGAAAATTTAAAAGTGTCATGAAAGCAATTATGCCACGAGTCTTGAACTGTATGTAAAGAATGAAATCAAATGAAATGTAAATAGTTTTATGACCGAAGAAATCAATTGTAGAAAGTAAAATTTCATAGAGAAACACTGTCACATTCTGGAGGATAAGCATTTCGAAGGAGCATACGAAGAGAGCCTGGTGGTTGATTGGTTGAAAAGAATCATTGTTGCTTCTGTACACGCAGCTATGAAATGGACTACGGTATTATGTAACAATTATGAGGGTTTTAAATCATCGTGTAGTATCAGTATAGCAAATTGAAAATAGCTCCATAATATGGTACATTAAATTAATAGCAAAGATTTGATATCAAAGAATGCCATAGCATAATTAAAGTCATATATAAAGCTCTGATTATGTCTTTCAATTGATTAGCGAACCAAGTCTACGACATGACGATACAATAGACTGTTAATTTTTTGTAAGCATATATGTAAGCATGCTATTGCACAATACCTAATATTGGCGATATTTTCATGGTTGTAGCATAAGCCGATTTAAGAAAATTCAAAAGTGTTATGCAAACCTTGCAGGATTCGCAGGTGAGTAATCCGTAATGGTACCCGGACACGCGATCACCGCAAACCGGACAGTTTTCGTATTCGATTTGCGGCTTACAGTTCAGATCGTCCAGCTTCAAGGCCGTTTCAATGCCAACCATGATGGCAATCGTTGCCGGTGATTTGCTCAGCGCTCCGGCCTTCGTTGTCACTCTTCTGATGCTGCGTTGACCTTGCTACCAACAGACAAATACACACACGCATACACGCACACACACATATACATACACACTGAAAGCCGTAGCAGACAGCGACCTGCACCTTTATGACAGGTGAGCTGCTACTGCTACAAGAAACCACATCAAATAATGAAAGCAATTACAGTATATGCCGGAAAGCTTATAACACATTTTATCAAATTATTGGAAGAGTCGGTGGAGTGAACGAAATCTGAGGTATCCAGAAGAGTACCGAGTGAACAGGTAGCAGCAGCAGCAGCAGATCGCATCACAAGCAACAATTCATCATCCTGCAAAAATGGGTGGTACCCGATGCATACCATCGTATCAAGCAAGTTAGCGGACGCGCACAGAGACAGACAGCATTGCAGACCCGACCTGATACATGCACCTTGTTCAGTTAAGCTGATGCTACTGCTACATCACTATATTGCTCATTCATGTCTTCTTTGCAATTAACAGACAAGTGGAGGTGGGCTCGGATGGGGCGGTAATGCAACTCAGAGAGCATGGTATTGGTGAACAGAAATGTCGCAGGGTTGTGACAGTTGTGCTTGAAAGGAGAAGAGCTGGTTAAGTCGCCCCTGGGACAATTGCAATCATCGGGCAGTTGTAGCACCGAAACATTCAAACACATCGAGAATTCTTCTCATCCATTCTGGGGATCGGAATTGCAAAGAAAAAAAAATGCATAAACATAGACGAATGTTTAATGTGTGTGAACGGGAATCAACAGTGTTACCCATTTGAACCAAAAATTTTCAACACTTATAGCTTAAACCATTGGCGGCTTTTATGGATAGAGAGCTAGAATGGGTATCTGAATACATGGATAGATAGATGAATGGATGATGGTTCGATGGATAGGTAGATGGTAAGTGAAAGAAAAGGAAAAGGAAGAGGAAGTAGTAATGATAGTAATAAACTTGTCGGAGAATTGCGTAGGGTTGGGAGAAGATGGGAAAGAGTGATGGGCTGCTCTCGCTTGTGGTAGTGAACTGTCACTGTCACCGTGTCCCAAATATCGAGGGGTCAAGGCCTTCGTCGTTTCTTACCTGAAGAAAGAGGAGGAAGAGGAGGAGGATAGTGCTTGATGAGACTGATGACGACAATAATAACGACGAAATGTGAATGACAATCCTATCCGAGCGTTCCCGAATGGAACAGATTCATGGCCTTCAATAACAGCGATCAAAAATTTGTTATTGAATGAAGGAAAAGTTTTTACAGGGAATAAAGAGTAATGTATGAATCTTATACTAGATAGATTGTGAGAAGTTGAAATTAAAGATGCTAAATTTAAGAAAAAAAAACAGACTACTTATTAATATTTGTCTTTGGGATAATCGAGAATAAAATGACAGAAGCTAAAAAATGTGATACAGAGATATGGGTGAAGGCCTTTAAAAAGCGAAAAAATGTGATACAGAAATGTGGATGATGGCCTTTTTGAGCAAATGCACCTTGATTGAGCCGTAAATTTACTGACCTTGATAAGTGGGATCATCCGGTGCATGAAGAAAAGAAAAGATAGATCGAGTTAGGGTCGAAGTTGGAATGGGGGACAAACTTTCGACCTCTAAAAGATGAGCGGTAGGTAGGCAAAGCTACACGTATCTGCATATATCGAGGCCAAGGTTTCACTAACCTTCACAACTATCGTCCAACTTTCCTTTTTCCGGCCTTCAGTTCAATCATTGCACGACCAGCAACTCGACGATATCAACTCAACCTCTACCACATATTTTGGCTTTGATATAGCTTTCAACACTAAAAATCCCTTATCACTTCAAACATTTATTTGCTAATTTTCTATAAGATACCACTTCTTCAAAAATAACCCATTGATATTTTTGTAGAAGTTATCAAGATTGAAATTATTTAATTATGAAGTTATGAAATAAAACATATGAACGAATTTGCAGCGTTTGAAATAAATGTAGCAGCTATTGAAATTGTATTAAAAGTGTTTTTTCTTTTTAAGGTGTTCCTTTACCTCTATTGAATCTACCGGTCTCAATTCTATTATGCTTATAAGAACTAATCATAATGTGCATCCATTAAACTTCACATCTTTCATAACAGATTTATATCGATTTAACCGAAATTTAAATAATTTATTAATTGGATGAATTGTGATGTACAGTCAGCATCACTATCACATGTCATAAAAATTAGTACAAAATCAAACTGCTTTTATTATAAGTATCCTCTAATTAACGAGTTAATTATCACTCTTTATTTCATTTATGATCATCTATGATTATAAAAATTATCAATCTTTATTTCATCTATGATTATATTTCTTTCCCGTTTCATTGTTGCAAATATGAAAACATTAATTAGTTTACTTATTGCGCTTATTTAAAATTCCAATAATTGCATTGGCTTATCTCACGAAATAGAAAGATAACACTAGAAGTTTAAAATATCATTTTTCAATTTAAAGTTTTGAAAATGTAATTTTTGAGAATAAATGGAAAATTTTTTATGATTTGCAATTCTGTTTTCTCCTGCATATGCTGGAAATTTTTGAAAATTGATTTTAATTGGTTTAAAATTTTGTTTCTACGTTAGTAGTGAAAGAACGAAATGATGGTTATTGTCTGGCTGACCATTTTTATTTGAAAAGGAAAATTTTTGCATTCTCTGATCTTTCTCAAAATCAAGTTTTTTCTTACATTTGTCAATTGACTGTTTGAAATATCATTTTTCAATTTAATGCTTTTAAAACGTACATTTTGAGAATAAATGGAAAATTTTTTAAAAATTAAATGGCAAAACTTTAGATAACTTTTTATTTTCAGATATTTTTATTAAAAATCCAATCTTCTGCATTTTTTCATATTGCAGGTTCTTAAAAAATTGAAACGTTTAGGGGAAATAAAAGTCATTTTATAGATTTCTTTTTTATATCCACAACTGCTGATCAGTGACATCCTATATATCTCAGGAATTCACTTTTTATTATGTGGAATGAATTCACGGAGTAAACACAAAAAAAAAAAAACTAAACAGAGGCAAAAAATCATGCATTTTGAACAAGGTCATCATTGATTTTTAATTGTTGTAAAAAGTTCATTCAATTTGCATTCAATCAACCAATTCCTTTTCCCATCGCTTTCTTGAACTTCCCTGTCCGACAAATCATCGAATTGTGCACTTATTATGATGAGTAATTGTCCAGATTTTCTCTTTACCACTCATACCAAAATTTTCCATCAAGAACAATAAAAAATATGACAAAAAACAAGTCAAAGTTTCTTACAATTAAAATATTTTTGGATATTTAAAATATTTTTAAAGCGAATAATCATTTAAAATATCAAATGATGAAAGTTTATTATTTTTGCTTTTTAAATAATTTAATTCATTGAAAAAAAACTACTTTTTTCAATGAGTTAAAAAAGGCGATTAGTATGCAAAATTTTTTATCATATTTGAAGAAATCAAGAAAGAAGTCGCAAATTTTTTTATTATATTGTTTTATTCCTTCATCGGTTCGGATCAATCTAGTAATTGCGCAAGTCTTATGAAAAGTTGGAGATATGAGGGAGGAGAGAAGAAAGGAGGAATGGCGAGATCGATTGCGATGATAAAGGCATTTTTCTTTAATGTAATCTCAAACTGTTTCTTACAAAAAGTTTTATTCATGAAACGAAACTAACATATTTGTAAGCGAGTAGTGAAAGTTTATTCGAACTTTCACTATTTAAACAAAAATTTTGAATAATAAGCAAAAAATTTTTTATTATCTTTGATCTTCAATTAAATGATTTCATATTATGGATAGGTTTCTTTTCAGTCTTCTAAACTAGCTTCAAGTTTCATCATCTTGTTTTCATTCTTGGATTTTATTAAATTTCATGCTTTAGTTTATGATATTTGGTGGAGAATTTTTGTTGTTTGCACTTTAATTTTTGGAGAATTTTTGTTGTTTGCACTTTAATTTTTTTTTTGGTGATTTTTTTTTTGAAAATTTTAAATGAAAAAATTAGACATCATTCAAATGTATTGATAAAAATGATTTGTTAGATTTAATTATATCTTTTCTTGTACAGTAATAAGTCAGAGCTTAACAATCGATCGAACAAATAAAACAATTGCTGACCTTCAAAAGGTAATTTAAAGAAATATCAGATCAAATTTAAAAAATAATTAAAATATATAGCTCTTTCAAACTAACTTTCCAGTCGTCGCTAATTAATTGTAATTAAATTCTCAAATTGAAATATGTAAAAGGGAAATAATAGCTTGCTCCCTAATTTTTTGCTTGATTCATTTTTTGCAATAAATAGTTGTTGGTTGTTATCGTCTTGGAATCAACGATGATCCATTTCTGAAATTGCGCAATCGATGTGACTAAAACTTCAATCATCCATCCATTATTTCCTCTTAAATGCTTTCATTTATCTAAATTACTTTCAATTTATTTAACATTTTAAAGCAATTATTTTATTTCTGTTGAGGTATATCAAAATTAAAAAATTTCAAATACTAACGAGTCAAAATTAACTCAAAATTTAGTTCGAAATAAAAATTTAAATAAAAAAATTGGCTTTAAATTTGAAATACCTCTAAATAAAACATATTTATGTAAATTTTTTCCTACCAAACATTGATCATTGTGAAATTTTAAATTTTGTGGTTTGTTATGACAAAACAGCAATTGATTTAATTATTTCAGGAATTTGAAACTAAAGTAAATTCTTAAAATTATAATCTGATAAAGCAAAATTTCGATTTTATCAATCGACATAAAGAATGATGCGATTTATATCAATGATTCTAACGACAAGGCCATTCATTGCTCCGCAAATTCATTTTATAAATCGGTCAACGGAAATTCATTCGACCAATCGTAGCATGTTATTATCAGTGTTACCCAGAATAATTTAATAATGATTAACCTGGCAGCTCATCAAACTTAGTATGCTCTGCTCTTACTCTACTTTTTTTCATATTGCTGCAATTTTGTTTGCTATAATAACAATGCCTTTGCATACATTTTTTATGCGAGGTATTTTACTATCAATCACAAATATTAGCTTGCATATACTGATATTAATTATGTATTTGCATGCAGGTATGATAAAAATTCTTTCATTTCTTTTTTCTCGTGATAAAATAATTCGAAATATAATTTCACTAAATTAATCTTATTAAGGAGGTCCAAAAGCCTTTCTTAACATATAATTGGAATTTTGTTATGATAAGAAACAAGCATATAATTGGAATTTTCTATGATAAAAAAAATGCAGATAGACTCTGCTAATTCCTACACATATTTAAATTGATGTTCCAAATTAAGTAACCTTTAAATTTATTACGCTAATGATTGCTAATTCTGTTCGATATGAATACTATGTGATAATCAAGTAAATTTTTTAATGAATTCAAAAGATTGCATGGTTTTACCATATCTCGATTAAAAAAAAGTGAAAATTGATGAAGTTACTATAACTGGAGTAAACTGAAGCAAATTTATTAAGTAAAAATTTTATTATTGTTGAAAAGAATTTTTTTGTAGAAAAAATTAAGAAGCAAGGGACAACCTTACTTTTCATCGTAATTGTTAATTAAAAAAAGTTATTATAGGTCGAGCGCTTATAATCCTTGGCTCATACATTTGGAATCGAAGAGAATCTATTTTGGTTATATTTCCGAAATTGCTAAACCAGCGAGAATCTTAAATAGCAGTTAAATCCAATTGAAAACATCAGGGATTATCAGTGAGAGATGAAGAAATGATAATATCACTAATTTTGGCCTATGCTACAATGCATTTTATTGAGGAAACAAAGGAAAATATTAAAACAAAATTTGCTGTTATATATCAGTTTAAAAATATGCTGATTTATAAATTAATTGATTCCATCTTTTAAATTCATCAATACTACCTTGACTAGGCTTTTTGAGTTGTTGCTATCATGGCTAGCTTTTTATTATAGATTTTTTCTTGATATAACTCAGAGTGCGATTAAGCAAATTTTATCTTGTGAAATGATCGTAAAAGTATTATTTTTAGAGATATAAGAAATATGTAAATTTCTGTAATTCTTCGATACTCTTTCACTTCCAGGAAAACTATTGAATTTCATTTTTGACCTCAAATTAAAATATTGATAGTAAATGTGAAATATATTTATTTTTTTTTGAAACATATATTATTGATTTTCTGAAATATATATTATTGATTTTCTCAGATTAGAAGATTAAAATGAATATGTTGTTTATTTTTTTGTGCATGCAATTTTAATTGCTGAAAAATAATACGACCATTTTTTTGCATTTCCATATAAATGAGAACATGAAATAGATTAACTATAGATCGGATCATTTCCTGATCAATTTTAAAATGCTAGCAAAAGTCATTCAATGTTGAATTTTGTTCTCTTAGTAAGACAATGATTTCTTAGAAAGTAAAATAATGGAAAACTTTGATAAATTAAAATTCAAATTGAAATTTATTGCCAGTGCTTTTTTGCAAACGATATTATATTGTTAAATTCTCTGATAATATCTCTGTAGAAATAAGTTATGACCGATTGGAAGAAAATTGAATGCGCGTTTATTGCTGATTCAGCTTAATATTTTTAATCACAAATAATTTGGTTAATTAGTGTAAAAAAGTTACAAGATCATAATTTTAATAGCAGGTCCAATAAAGTACGGATTAATAATTTAAAATAAAATGAAATGAGACGGAATTGCCAGCAATAATGAATTTACACCCCAATTAAAAATTTGTATTTAGAGAAACAAACAGTAAAATTAATTAAAAGTTTCGACCCGAAAATCTGATAACTTATCAGTGTATCCTATCATTTTTGATGTTTCTAAACAGATCCCAATTCATTTATATAAAATATCATTTCAAACATATTTTGCTTATTTTTTAAAGCATAGAAACGCTATTTTCAAAAAAAGAATATCATTCTTGCAGCAAATTCTAAAATTTGAATATATATATATCACATAAAAGTTTCGTGCTATTTACTTTGAAACTTAATAGATTCTGTAACTCTTATCATTCAAGAGGTCAGGATAGGAAATATATAGATAAGCAAAATAGAAAAGATAACTTAGTGATCGTAGAAATGGATAAAGAAGCTGTATTTCTTCGAGGTATTTTAGTTGTAGAAATTCTATTGCGACTGCAACGAAATATTGTAGTGGTATACGGTGTTTTAGTGGTACTACCATTTACGATTACGATCATCGATGAAGTTTTTGGTTCATCTTTTATCGTCGTTGTCATTTTGCTGGGAGATGTTGTAGAAGAAGCTGAAAAACAAGTGAGAAGGATTAATTAATTTTATATAATGAGGTGATATAAAATGTACTTACTTGTAATAGAATTTATCTTGACAGTTTTCCGATCTGCAAATAGAATCTCATTAAAATTATTTTAGCAAAAGAAAAAGAAAAAGATTTGAAAAATAATTGTGACGAAAAGACTAAATTTTTCTTTTCAGTTAAATCTGGAATTGCCACAGGTATAACAAATCAAAATAAATAATGAATATTTACTGTTAAAAGCAGGAACAAATCCATAAGCGCTATTATTTGTGCGACCGCTGATAAAAATAATGTACAGGCCATCAGCATAGAAGAAATGGAAACCAGAGGATATGGTACCGGATGCATAATACAATGAACCATTTAAGAATGGTAGAGTAGCAAATGATAAGCTAATTTCACCATCAAAAAAAGCACTTGACACTGCTTGATAATCCGCTATCACCTATAAAAAAATATTCGCTTTTGTAAAAAAAATAAGGTCATGCTATCAGGCGCATATTACGTTTGTTTTATATAGAATCACGTAAAGAAACATTTCGGCATTTTTGCGCAGAGTAACACTAAAATGCTTTGGCAATATTCATTTCTTAATTGTAATGTATTGAAGTGGCTTACAGTAACTTTATTGCTATCGCTGGGTACGATAACTGGAATCATACCGGTGATGAATTGTGAAATGGCTGGTATTTCATGCAAATATCCACCTTCCTCGTAGTTTAATGCTCCAACATTGTAACCGCCGTAACGAATAACATTTAACATTATCCTGAAGATATAAAAATTTTCCAAATTCATTAAATTGTTCTAATAATAACAGCGTTTATATTGCACTGCTTTGATCTCATTTTTCCATATTTACAACTACAATTTATTTGAACATATTTTATATTATATGTATTACTTTTGAACATATTTTATATTATATACATTTATTGTAACACGCGAAAATAAAATTGTCTAAATACGGATAAGCTCTTACGAAGTACTTGTCGCAGCCATATTTCCATAGTTATCAAATATCATCAGATTAGAATTTTGAATGAGAGTGGATATCAAACGCTTCGTCTTGACAACTTTATTCGAACCATGAATTGAAATTTCGACTGATTCACAGTCAGAGGATGATGGTGTTAACAAATGATGTTTTCCGGTAAGCAATGGTATCAAATGATTATCTTTCACCGATAATTTTTGGCAATCTGTGAAGAAAACTAATTTATTTTTCAAATTATAACTGAATGAAAGAATTGTTGTGAATTGAATGATTTGATTTTTACACTCTATTGTAAGTTCTATTGTTCATTTTGTTTTTATTTTACTAGGAAAATAAATTTTTAAAAGGAAATAAAAAAATACCTTTTTTTCTCAGATAATAAATTCATTAAGATTAATTGCTAACAAACCCATCATTGGCATTGAACTTGGCATAAAACAGCCAAAATCAAATACACTTGATTTTTCCAGTGTTGGTAATCCACGTACGGCTGCAACGATGACGAATGTGAAATTACTGTACGCCCAAAACGTAGCACTTTCTCTCGATAAACTGAATACAAGCATTTTACCTGCCTGTAATATAAATATTAAGTTACCGGAAAAAACTTTGAATAAGTTAGTTTCAGTTGTATATTCTTGGAATATCTATTTTCGTTCAAGGATCTATTTGAAGACTTGTAAACTTACTTTTAAAAAAAGAGCTAAGAACGAAAATAAACCTGTACAGCATATTTGTATGAGGAAAATAATGATTCACGAATCAATTTAATTGTAATATATTGTTTAGGTTGTTTAGCTTTTACTGGCAAAAAATAAACAGTTATTGAACCGGATAAGGATGATGCTGGAAGTGCAAATGCGTAGTGATTTCCGGCCATCGATGTTGGTAGTACTGTAATTGTTACGGAATTTTGAACAATGCAATCACTGCGGATCATCAATGCATTTCAGGAGAAAAGTTATTTAGAAATGTAAAAATTTCAAATATATAACTTGTAAAAAAATAAAAAATTTGTTCAAAACGGTTAAATTTTTAAAATGATAACTTTTAAAGAACTTCAGTTTAATTTTTATATGCATTATATGCTTATCATTATTATAATTATTTAATGAGATAATGAAAAAAGAACCAAGGAAACTGTCTTGTGCGCCGCTAACATCTACATTATGTGCTATAAGAGTGATTGGAATTGTAGATTGAACAACGATTCGAGCATCTAAGTATGAATGCAAACCGTCGGTAAGATGGTCCAGAATCACCGATTCACGAAAATTAAACTGAAAAACTAAATTCATACTGAAAAGCACGACGAAAAATACATAAAATCACATAAATTTATTTTAACATCATTTTAAGATAATTTTTTTATTTCGGATATTTTTCCCCTATTGATCTTCTTTAAGTCCAACTATTTTGCTTATTTTCATACATTAATTTATGAAATTGATGTTTATTGCAATTGTGATACTGATTCATCAGAAAATCATCTTTCTTTAATGGATCAAATGAACATGAAAAAAGGAAGAAACAAGAGAGTAGAAGAGATAGAATACATAATCTTTCAAAAAATATTGAAAATATACTGCCATTTCATATTGATAAACTATGAGTTAACAGGAATTTGCACATTATAAATTTATAATTTTAGAAAGATTGACGCAAATCCTTAATAAAATAATTGGCTGGAATATCAGAAAAAAAATAATAAAAGAAGAATACCAGATCTCTGCTCAAGACTTTGACAAGTAAAGTTGCAGTACGTCGTATTACTGTGATATTATCACCAGTGATATCAAATTCCGGATATTCAATAGTAACATTAGCTTGTTGTTTTGTGTCCGGATTGATAACGCTTAATGTAGCATTCATTCCGCTAGATCCACTATTATTTGGTGGGTATACAAAAATAAATTTGTGCCCATATGTATCTGTTTTTCTGGCGCAAACAATCATAAGACACAAAACTGCAATACAATCTCAAATTTAAATATTAGAATTGAAAATGAAACAAGGAAAGAATTCCATCTAAAGAGTGCTTATATCTGGAAGTTTAATCTATTTCTAAAATATTTGAAAATCAATCTTTCCCTTCTAACCTCGTTAAGAATATGATAAACTGATAACTCTAATATGTTGAATTGAAAATAATGGGTCGGCTTCTACTGTGCACAAAGTTAAAATTTTAATTTTTTCTCCTGGTTGTTACTACATGACATCTTTTGATTTCATTTCTTATTTGTAAAAAAAGTCATTTGTTATATCGGAAAATAATATGATTTAATCAATAATTTTTGGTTCGATCTTTGCTGATTTCATAATCAACTGAAAGCTCTCGAAAAATGAAAGGATTAATTTTGCTGATAATGATTTTATCTTTACTTGATGTAGTCGATTATAGATGTACAATTTTAAGGTCAAAATAATTTATATTGAGAAAAATAGGATTTAAATTACCTGTAAAAATTGTTTGCCAGATGAAATATGCCATGCTTGCAGTTGACAAAAGTTCGTAAATAAGAATTATTTTCTAAATATATTGTATACTCGTCTGTTTAATAAAATCATTTTATCAGTTCAAGTGCCGAAATAATTCTTATCATAAACTGTTGGCAACTAACGCAAAATATTGTTGATGAAATTACATGTAGTAAACATTCCTCGATAAGCAAAATTTTTCAAAGTATGAGAAAATTTCAGTTCAAAATTGGAGTTTAATGATAGTTGAAATTTGATTTCACAAAACATAACTTTCTTCTGTGCAAATAAATGTATAAAATTGCAGTGCAAAAATTATTCGATCACAATTAGTTACGGATGATTATTGTCAAATTTTAATTCTCTTTGAAAAAATGAATTGAAAAAATAAATTAAATAATTTAGGTCATATATTTCAAAAAAGTTCCATTTCTCTTTCATGAAAAATAAAATGAGATATAAATTGTGTTTCTGTCATCTTTTCTCCCTATGAGAAGATCTTGCAACCTTTCTTAGAATTCTGCAATAAGGAATGTTGATACATGATCTTTTGTATTTCGATATTATTGTAAAAAATTTGCTTAATACAATCTTCAAGATAGCATAATTGGGACTGTTAACGGTGTTAAGTGACCAAACATTTCTGAATTTTTATGATTTCTTCAAATAAAAGACTCAAATGTATGTATTTTCTTGTTGTTTAACAGATCGTTGAAAAAATTTATCAAAAATTAGAAGAAGCTCAAATAATTATTGTTTATTTACTTCCACATCAGAATATTAATGTAAAGTAGGCAATAAATAAGCATTAATTAAACTTAAATATTGACAGAAAGGCACAAATGAAGAAGGAAAAGAATTAGTGATAACACATAAAAGAAGAGAGAGTAAAATTAACAGAAAAGAGTAGTTGAAAAAATAAAATTGAAATTTATTTAAAAGTAAAATAAATTAGGATTCCTTCTTCATTATATATTATAGGAATTGTAAATGGGAATGATAAGATTGTCGCAAAATTTTTCTTCCACAAATTTCAAAACTTTTTTTATCCATCGAATTCATTATTAGTTAAATTTTGATTTTTATTAGTTAAATTATTAGATAATCTAAATTTTTTTTGATGATATAATTATAGTTTTTAGCATTTCCAAAGATATATTTGAAGATGTTTTAAAATTATTCCAATAATTGACGATAAAAATTTTCCCATAGTAACTTCTTGTAATAACAAATGCTTCGCTTTTTTCCTTCTTTTTATTCAAATGAAATTAGAAAGTTATAACTTAAAGTAAACGAAATTCAGTTTGCATTATGCTGATCAGTTTCTTTCGTTTCTTTAGCTAAGGCATAATTTTGATCCATACGATCCTTTCCAAATGTTTTGATTATTATAATAGCTGCCAGGATAGCAGAAAGCAATAGCGATATGAGGCTACGTAATGACCAAAATTCTGATGAACTTTCGCAACCTTGTGGACATGGCAACAAAGCCGGTTGTTTTGTTGTCTTAATCGTTTTCTGAAAGAGTAATTCATTAAAAAAAAAAAAAGAAGAGTAATTTATGGAAAAAAATTTGTTACGAAATGATCAGTAACAAATTTTTTTCCATAAATTACTCTTCTTCATTTTTTTCCATATTAAATTCTTGCAATTTGATAAGATATATTCAACTTAATCAGATTTTAGCTCAAGCCTTAACACAATATCACACGATAAGATAAATAATTTTGTCAGTAGCGTCAATTATCATATCATTTTATGATTTACGTATCATTACTATAATTACACAGAAATTCTGCATTTTTCAAACTGCAAATTCATCACCATTTAAATCTTTCTCATGGTTGTTTTGTCATTTTTAATTTTCCAACTACTCAGAAACTTAATGTTTAAAAAGCAAACAAATTCTTTAATTGTAAAGCATTTTTATCAAGTACTATTCAATTTATCATTTCCATAATTTTTAGTTGCAGGCTATAAAATTTACAAATAAACAAAATATGCTTATCTGGTAATAATAGAGTACAAATAGTCACTATTGTACTTAGGTTAGCAGATTTTTAGATTTCTGTTTTCTTTTTCTCGTTTTTATCATTTCCAAAATAGGAGTAGGAAATTAATACCAAGAAAAATCATTATAGCTTAACTGCATTTAGTAATTTAATCATATTTATTGAATTAGCTTTAAGAAAATTATCAGAAAATATAGGGAAGCAGAATTAGCTAATGCTTAAAAATTGCAATTATAATAGCAGCACTAATAGTGATTTCGAAAATTTACCCCTATTGAAAGTATTATCATTAGTGTCGCTGTATATCACTTTATCAAATCAAAACTGTACTCACAAAAGAGGCAGAAGTAAAGGCCATTATAGTTTTATTAATTAGTTCTGTTGTTAGAATTCTATTATCGTTATTAAAATATTCGCGCTCCATATGTTTCACCATTCTGTCAATGCTTCTCTAAAAATTAACAAAAAAAAAGAAATAAAATATTTCATGGATAATTTGAGAAGAATGAAAAACGAAAGGTAATACAATGGTGCAAATCATATAAAAAAAGAAAAAAAAATTTAATTTCAGATTTTAGTAATCTTTATAAGAAAGCGGAATTTTAAAACTAACTTTTGCTATCTCATCAGAAGTGGGTAATTTTCCACGATGCTTCCTTGTCTCCATTAAAACATTTACCGGAAATTAAAATCATTAAATTTGTAATAATTATTGAATAAAAAATCGAAAGGTGAATAATGCTAAACAGCTGGATCAATTTTAGTCAATAATTCGTTAAATTCTATTTCACTAATTTAATATTCCATATTTTCTACCATTTTTGACAAATTTTTATAAATTTTCTATTTTAAATTTTTTATTAAAAAGAATAATAAGAATTCAAAGAGACAAGCTAATTTATATGATCTATTAGCTGAAATGTAGTTTACTGTTTCACATCAAAAAAACTGAATTCCCATACATCATCGACTATTTCAAATAGATCGCTAGCGGTATTATCCGTATAATTTTATTAAGTCAAACAAAAAAAAAAAAAATGAACCTGTGTAGTAACATATTGTAAAAATACACCCAAAAGTGCTTTACTAAAAAATTGTGCAGTTTTATTCCAACATGACAGATCCTAAAAAAAAAAAAATTCACACAAAAATTTGTTAAAATTATTTGATGATACATTATCATATCTCATTATGCCAAAAGATAATTTGAAACATTTAAGAATATTGTACTTGATAGTACACTTCGTTTAACTATTTCATTCATTTTAGTTTACTCTTTTTAAAAACACTTTTAATTTATAGAGAAAAATTCCTAACAAAAAAAGTTAAATAAAAATAAAAAATATAATTGCAATCTATTTCAACTCATAGTATACCTACTAAGCCTGCTAATATTTTTTATGCATTGATGCAAACTAAAATTAATTGTTTCAGTGATCGATGAATTGATAAGCAAACAATGAAATAATCAAAATATTTAAATAATAATTCTGTAGTAATGAAAATAAAACTATAACCTTATCGAATTTACTGGAGCAATGTAAACTGCATCCTTTCAGCAGCAGTTCATTTGGTTCTCCTTTACAAACTGATATCATTGATAATAGTAGTACAATGCCGCCCATATAATCAATAGTTTACCAGGCCTAGATCATTGTAGTTAATGCATGATGTTAGAAAGTAAAATGATTTGATATGATTAATTCCTGCAATTTGCTGCAATTGATAATAGACGAAGATAGAGAATAATTTGAATTCATTGTTACAATAACGATTTACAGCTCCTCATAGATTTGTGTAATTGTTGATAAAATTGATGATATATCGATAGCGATAGTATAAATTTTGCATTAGGAATGTTACACTATTTGACGATTTCATTTTTTGTTATTTTATAACAATTTTTTATCGAAATTTGAGCATATAGAGAGAAGAAATAAAAAAAAAAAATAGAAAAAATAAGACACGAAAAAAGAAAAAATGGAATTTGAAAGAAAAATTAAAATGTCACTAACAGCAATGATGATGCTTGAATAATAAAATATAAAGTTTGAAATAAAAAGAGTCTCATTTTGTAATCTGTAAATAACACATAATCCAAAGATTAAAAAAAAAATTTCTGCTTTCGCATTCATCACACAGACGAAATACAATACAATAGCACCATTTTCAAAAAAAAAAAAAAAAAATGAAATTGATGGATATAAACTGAAATTAATATATCGCTTTACAAAAATACGTATAAAATTTGAAGAGAGATAAATTAACAAATTCAACTGGCAATCAACACATTTCACTTCTCTGATAAATCAAAATCAGTTGAATTATGACGTCAAAAAATTTCCTCTCGAAGAATTTCAAATAATTCGACTGATGGAAGATAGATAATTGTGCTATTTATT